GATAATTGCAAAAAATGTAAGGAGTAGCAATAAAAGGTTGTCTAATAATTACTCCAGTAAAGTATAGATAGCCAGAATTTCTACTTAAGTAAGGTAATAAAATATTTGTACTTTTCTATTTGACACCTCTGATGATGACTGTAACAAATTATGCTTTTATGTCGCCGCAGGCAGAAATCCTAGCAGTTAATGTTCAGCCACAGCTCTCTTTCCTCCCTGTTCTTTTTAATGGTCTTAACAACGTGACCTATAAAAAGAGACGATCACCTTAAGGATTTATGCACTACTGTGCTTGCACAAACACACTGTAGAGTAAATTAAACTTGCGGTATGACCCTGAGGCCAATCTACCTGCAGCATTTAAGATTTGATTAGACCTAATTGCTTTTACACCCCAATTAAGTGTCCTCAGAGAAAATGACGAGGCTCAACAGCCCTTTCAGGAAGAGATGAATCAAGAAAGATGCAAAAGGAGCAAAAGGAATCCCCTCTCAGCCAGAACCTTGCCAGTGACAGTGCGTTAGCAAATCCGCTTCCCCTCTAGGTCAAGCTGTTGTCGGAACACCATCGAGTTGATTAAGATGGATGTGTACGGCCGGGGCGAGGCTGAAACTGCCCTGCGGTCGCCCTCCCCACGTCTCCATCCTGACAGCTGTCTATAACACTGCGGCTTCTACCTGTAAATTACACTAATGCAGACTGACAGGCAGCCTGCCCTCGAGTGGGCCGCGCTGATGACACTGATGACATAACTGCTGGAGCTCCAACACAAGACAAGAGAGAAGGAAGCCTTGTGAGCCCTGCACGCAAACTCCACACTCTCTGGCACGGCCCGTCTTCCACTCGCTCCTGTGAATATAAAGTCTACTTTACCGCCTAATGCTTCCAAGAAATGAACCCCTCTTCAAGGCTGGATCGATGGGCAATGGCAGACATGCAGAATTTTAAAAACCTCCTACACACACCACGGTTTGGATAAGCACCTGCTCAAGGTTGGATGTCTGGAAGGTATGCTTATTTCAACTTTTAAAAAGTCTCCATTCTCACCCCCCCAAATGGGCTCTATGCACAGCTCCACTACTTCCTGAATTTAAGGCAGCTCCTTTGTTTCCTGTCTTTCATTACTGGACGAACTGATTAATCCAGGTGTGTCTGGCCAGTTACTTAGGTCATACACACCTGGATTAATCAGTGCATCCAATCATGAAAGACAGGAAACAAAGGAGCTGCCTTAAATTCAGGAAGTAGTGGAGCTGTGCATAGAGCCTATTAAAGGAGGAAAAAAACGTCCAACTATTGCACGGTGGTGACTGGTGTCTCAATAATCCATAAAGTGTATTCACACCGAATGCAAATTACGTACCATTTACATGTTATTTCTATGGAGAGGGTGGCTCAGGAGTGCGGCTAAAAGAAAGTTGCAATTTGAGCGAGGGGAAAGGCTAGTTCTTGCAGGTCTATTTGCACAGTGACAATAGAGTACTGCCCCACCTAAAGGCCTGGTTATGGTCCCTGCAGCAGTGTTTTGCTAGCCTCGTGAGACCATCCTGATCTCGCGAGCTTTCAAGATTTCACTCGCTAATCAGTCTGGAGACTCTCCGTTGAAGAAAATTTGGAGCAGTTCACCAAACGAACGTCCACTCAGCGTTGGCTTTGAGGCAGGTTGAGGTGTGACGCAACGAGAAGCGCAACAGTTCAGTCTAAAGAACATGGCGGCTTCAGCCGATGAAACTAGCGTTAGTGTGGCTATCGAGCAAGTTTTATCGGAATTACAGAGTATTTCTTCACTGAAAGAAGAGCAAAACACTGCTCTGGAGGCTTTTCTCAGAGGAAAAAATGTTTTTGCTCTTCTCCCGACTGGTTTCGGCAAGAGTAGCCTGGCTGTTAGTACGTCATATGCTTAGTTGATCTGATTGGTTTATTTGGCCCGTCTATCACCAACATAGGCCAATCAGCTAACCAGTATTTTCGCCCCTTCCCAAAATTACTTCAACCGAAGGTTTCCAGATGGATATGCGGAGCAAATCCATCTGGCGGAGTCAGGTTAGTGTTTTGCAGTTTTTAATTTATGCCATGTATTTAAGCGTGGTCTGCGCTATACGCTGTGGGTCGAGATACAACCGAGGCGGAGAGGAAGTGGGAGCAATGTTTGTCCGACAACGGAGGGACATGACGGCGAAAAAGAGCGGGGATCCAGGTGGACAAAGGGTCCCAGCGTTCTCGCACACCTCGCTCTTCTAGCTGGTCCATCTTCACGCAATTTCAGTCATAAAAACAAAACAAGCCGGCCTCCTGTCTGCGGTATAGCGGAGTGTCTGTGGAGGGGGCCGGGACGTCTTTTTGTTCACTGCGACACCTACGCAGACGACGTAGTTTCGAAGTATAAATCAGCCTTAAGAAGTACGCAAAGCAAAATTTGCATGAGACTGCAAGCCTTTTGTATTTTCATGTCACAAAAAGCAATCAGGGACTAGACATGGTTGTGAAGTAGGGTGGTGCGGAGCAGCCTTTTCAATCACAACCAGTCCCTGATTGGTTGCCGCTTTGCAATTACACAGACTATGGGGCTAAATCAGTGACAGCTTCAACTAACATCAAATATGAAACTGAAAAACTAAACACCTTCAGTTCCAACACTGAAAATGCAAACACTGACATTTCAACATTACCCCCCAAAAAAGTGTTGAAGTAAAAATTAAGGAATTTATTAGTTGCAGTTTTTTTTCAATATGCGATGATTAGTGTGTTACTGCAGGGTAATGGCAGTAACACCTTAATTATACAAGCTGGCAGTGTTTTTGCGTTAGGGGCGGAGCTAAAGGGAAGGCTCCTTCAGGGGCCATCAATTTAACTCCATAGCAAACGTCAGCTTCTTTTCTAGTCTTGAAATTTAGGTTGTCACTTAGCTTAATTTGAAACTAAACTTACTGGATTACTTGTTTTATACAGCCAAAATAAAGTTAAAACCTTAACTTGTGGTTTAGCAGCAGCACTTGAATTGGAGTCTTCCACCATTTTAGCGCAGGTAGAAGACAAAAAGTACTGGAAAAACATAAGGACCCTGAAGGGGCCTTTAGTTTAGCCCCACCCACAAACACAAAAAAAGTGCGAGCTTGTAGCTTGAAGGTAGGAACTCTGCACTGACACTTAAATCATCTCTCTTGAAAAAAATCCTGCAGCTAAAAATGACAGAATCCTCACAAGGTTTTATTTGTTAAGAGGGAATTTTGAATTTTCCATGGTTGAATTGTCATTGATTGACATTTCAATGTTTAATTTTTCAATGCAAAATCTCCCATTCGATGTCAATCCAAGCTGCCACCGATTTAACTTCATGACAGAAACGTTAAGATTTTTCAACTTCAGCGGTCACTGTGTTGAACTCACCGCAGGCCGCTGCATAGCACCCCTAGTGTTTTTAGTTGGTTTTGTTTTAACTTCAGTTAGTTAATTTTTCTTAGATTTTATATAGCTTTTTTCTTTGTGTTTTTGGCTGTTAAGCCCTGTATAAACATTTCAGTCCAGTCAGAAGTTTTGCTAACTAATAGATTCAGTTCACCTTTTTATCCTTCATTACGTCATCCAGAGCCTTTTAAGACAGCGAATAGCGATGCTGAATACAGTACAGAAGGTTAATGTATCTCATACTGGACTTAGACTTAGACTTCCTTTATTGTCATTGCACAAAAAAAACAGAAGGTGAATCTTGACAATGAAATGTATGTTGATTACTTGGCTACCAGTGTAACAGAGCTAAGACCTTATTCCTGCACAATAAATATGTTTTCTATAACTAAGAGCGAGCTATATAAAGGGTAAGAGTATATATGTACACATATATATTGCACTGACTTATTGAAGAAGTAACATTAATAAATATATATTGCACTGAGTTATTGAATATTGCACTGAAGTGTTATTGAAAACGAAATATTAAATTGAAGACAAAACTAAACTAAGGTGCATGTATTGTCCATGTCCATGGGGGGTGGTTTTAGTGTGTGTGTGTGTGTATACATGACTGCATGGTATGGAAGAGGATTAGGGCCACTGAAAAAAAAAAAAAAAGTTAACTGATTTTTAAAATTTATTTCAGTTTAGTATGGGAAAAATGTCAGAATTCTGACTTTTTTCTCAGAATTATTCTGACTTTTTTCTCAGAATTCTGAATTTAATCTCAAAATTCTGACTTTTTTTTTCCAGAATTCTGACTTTTTTTCCCAGAATTCTGACTTTAATCTCAAAATTCTGACTTTAATCTTAGAATTCTGACTTTTTTTTCAGAATTCTGACTTTAATCTCAAAATTCTGACTTTAATCTTAGAATTTTGACTTTTTTTCAGAATTCTGACTTTAATCTCAGAATTCAGACTTTTTTTATTGTCAGAATTAAGTCAGAATTCTGAGATTAAAGTCAGAATTCCGACTTTTTTCCCACACTAAACTGAAATAATATGTAAAAATCAGTTAACTTATTTTTTTTTTTTAGTGGCCCTAATCCTCTTCCGTAGGATAGCCTTTTTAATATATGGCTGAAACTTAATCTATTGACTCTCATTATTGCAGATAAACGAAGATGCAAAATTCCAAAAAAGTAAAAAAAAACTATTTCTAAGTTTGAAGATGTTTCGCTTTCCATCCAGGAAACTTTTTCAATTTATATTGAAAATTCAATTCTTTTTTAATTGAAAAAGCTTGCTGGATGGAAAGCGAAACATCTTCAAACTTGGAAACAAAGTCCAACGCACTGTTTTTTTTAAACTTTTTTGGAATGAGTATGACCTGGATGACTGAGAATCTTCACCAGCATAGAAAACGCAAAATATTCATAAAAACTGTGGGCAAAAATAGCAACAATACCAACGTCAAAACATGTCAGTAACATTAAACTGTAAGGTTTTAGTGAACATTTGAAGTCTCACTGTTTCACTCACAAATTTTTTACTTTAGCTATCATTGCTGAAGTGAACATTTTATGTCTTTATGGACTCAACTCTTACCTCTGTCTCCAAGAAGCGTCTCAAGGCTCTCTTCTTCTTGATGCTCTTGCGCCGAACGTAAACGGCAACGCTGAGCGCCAAGATGATGATGATGAATAAGCCCCCAATGACACCAGCTGCTATTAGAGGCGTCCTGGATGAGAATTAGTGAAAAAGCAAAAAAAAAAAAAAACACATAAATAACAATAAGTGGTAAGGCAGTTAAACTGAACAAAGGTCAGCTTAACCCCTAATGATGATCTTAAACCTCTTCAACCATAAAGAAAGAATTTATTGTCTCCAAACTTAAATTAAAAGTTCTATTTCTATCAGGTTTTATTCTTCATGTTTTAAAATATCAGGGGTCTGCTGTTTGTTGTGAACTTTAAGAGCTGAGCTTGATTCGCAAGCAAAATATTTTTGCATTAGTTTTTTTGCAGACATACAAAGGTGTCTGCCAATCTCGTTGGAAACTTAGTTAGAAATTGCTTTGCGCTGGAGAGCAAAAAACGCATCATTAATGTTTGAAGGGAGATTTTAACTTTTTTTTTCTTTAAGATCTAAGATAAAGAGCAAGCAGAACAGAAACGAGAAGATTTAGGCAGCAGCCCCTATAGCAAGAATTGCAGCTTGTAAACATTGTTTGCAGCAGCAGAAAGTCCCCTTAGATCCGATTGTGACGACAGGGTTTGTTTTCCCCGTAGTAGGATTTGGGTTCAAAGAATCTTGGACCAAATACATGCCTCCTTTGATTCTCAGCCGGAATCAAAAAGACTCGCTGAAGAGTTTTGCTTTTTAACTTTAGTTGATCAGTTAATATCCATTTAATCTGATATTTCAGAGCTTTAAATACTCTGAGAACATAGAGAATAAAACACTTCGATGATTAAAGATACACTAGTAATACTTTCTAATCTTGAAAAAACGCTTTTTACTTTTGATTTGTGCATTTTGTTGTCATTGTCATTGATCTTAAAATGAACAGAAATTATCAGAAATGATTAGTTAATTGTTATAAAAGCAATTTAAGTCCTTCTTTTGATTGTTTTAGGTGTTATGTTTATCTTAGGTTGTATTGAATATGGTATGAACAAACTTATTTATAGAGTGAATTTGGACTGGTGTTGCACCAATGCCATTTTTTGGCTCCAACACCGATACCTGGCTGTGCAGTATCGGCTGATACCGATACCATACCGATACGATCTGTTTAAAATTAATGTGTGTGTATATATGAAGAACTGCAGACTACTTGGATGTAAAATAATTGCCATCTTGGCTTTGTCAAGGTGCTGCCTAACTTTGTGAAGCAAGAAAAAGACTAATACAAAGAGAATCCAATAGAACTTTTTATTGCCTATCTGGGATGGGTGACAATAGTTGAATAAACGTTTGGCTCTCAAAATGGTATCAGTGCCCTATTTGTTGGTACTCGCTGATACCGATACCACCATTTTAGTGCAGTATCGGGGCCCTGTCCGATACTGGTATCGGTATCGGTGCAACACTAATTTTGATTCATTATTGTTGCAATCAAAGAACATTTGTTAGCTAAATTTAAAATTCATGCAAACTAGAAATAAAATTTCAAGAAACTTCATAAAAAAACAAGTTTTAAAAGTAATTTTGCTGTTTTCTATATATAAAAAAATCATTTTTCTTTCTTGATTTTTTCAAATCTAATTTTATTGGTCTGCTGGACTTGGCAACAACATTTTCATTGGTCATAAGCAAGCGCTGGTTTTAGGCTTGAAGTGAAGAAAATGTGATATGTAAAAAGCTCATGGTTAATTGTTTCATTGACATAAACCCATGTTTAAATTGGGCACATGTAAATAGGAAACATCTGTTGTTAAACAATGACACCCTGTCTGTGGCACATACATGTATAGCTAAGGTAGCACACACAGGAAGTGAGTCTACTTACTTTAAAAGCTACTGAATCACAAAGATCTATGCTCTTGGACCTTTGAATAGGAGGCTTGGTGCTTACTTTGTGCCATTTTCTCTAGATAGTGTCGCAGTCTTGGTTTTCCATTTGTTGTCCTCTGCTGCCCTCTTGTGTCCTCTATCCCTTGCTCTGTTTTCTGCTCTGTCCTCACCTGTTTTCAATTCCCTCGTTAGCCCTCTCTTTGTCTCTGTCCCCTTTAAAAGCCCTCCCTCTTCAGTTCCTGTTTGCTGGATCCTCGTCTAACGTCTGTCTGTTTACCTTGTCTCTCCCTGGCTCCTAGAGTTTGGTTTTCCCCTGATGTCTCCTTGGTTCTGGTTCGTTGTTATTTCTGTTGGATTTTTTAATTCCTGCCTCAGTTCCTGTTAACCTCATTAAACCCACCTAAATTCACCTCCGCCTACTTGCCTCTGCATTTGGGTCCTCAATCCCACACCAAATCATGACAGATAGTTAAATTAAAGTGTTAAATTCTATTTCTAATCTCACATAATTCTTATATGTTTAATGTAAATCTGCTGCAGGAATTAAAAGATCAGGGCAAAGAGAGTGAAAAAGGGATGTAAAAACTACAACACCCCAACTTTAACCCTAACAAGAATGTATAAACTAAACTTAAAAGGAAATTCTATGTAAGGAAACCAACTTATTTAAACAAGCCCTGCAAATTCCAATTAGAGGAAATGTAAGAAATTCAGTGAGGGTATTGCTGCAGGCTTGTAACAAGTAATGAAGATAAAACCCACTATGGGATCTTAAACAAATATAAGAGGGTGTGAATGTGTTTGGAATCAGATATTTAGATATATGGTAGAAAACTATAGAATCCTTTTAAGTAATCTTTTTGCTTGTAGATCAGACTACATTTTTTGTGTTTAAGCATGTTAGCATAAATAATTTCTAATTCCTTGTCTTAAAATTCTTGCATTTCACAAGTAAGAATCATATTGATAATTCTGTGCTAAAACAGAAAGACACTGGTTACATTTAGAACTCATTTCTGGAAATTATTTAACTTAAATATTTAAATACCAGTTCAACTATATTATCTACAGTATACAGAATTACCAACATCAAATTATATGGAGATTTTTACTATTTTCTTTTACTAAGTGCTGAAAGAAACTAACATTTTAACCATTTAAGGTGAAAAGCTTTGCAAAAATATTTGGAACAAGTATTCATGAAAAAGAGAAGAATGGTCCTATTTTAACAGGCTAAGACAGGATGTCTGACATCACATATTTATGTTGCCTACCTCTGTGGACGATTCACAGCTTTCATACCCCCACCCCCTACTATTCTTTGTGTTTAAACCAACATTCTGAATCGGCTACAAATACAACTTAAACTTTTGTTATTTTTCTTTTCCTCAGGTGAAGAAAAATGTGAGCTATCAAGCTATCAAAACCACCTTTCCTTTTATAAAAAGCTTTTTTTTCTCCCCCTGAATATGAGGAAAAATGAGCTTTGAGGAAATGTAAAAAGGTTGCGTGTTAAAAGCGCTGTCTCATCCCTAATGACACCACTAATGCGTTTGCCATTTTATACAGCAAATGCACTTGTAGGTACTGTTAGGCTATTATTAAATCCTGCCCTTCCATTGGTCTTTGTCCCTACAAATCCTCTCCACTTCTTCCTCTTTGCTCCATATTCACCCTCCTTCAAATGCCAGAACTTTCCTGCCTCAATTTCTAAAGATCAAAAGTCGATCAGTTGTAAAAGCCCTTAGCAGCTAATGGAAGATACTGGTCCCTCTTTGCTACGGCGGCGCAAGGTGTCGCCGCATCTGCTACATCGATGGTGATAAACTTAAGGTAGCGGAAGCTTGAAATTTAGCAACAGGCTCCAAGTTCAGACATAATTATTACTGTATAAAAGGTAATTCTGAAGTTTAGCGGAGTTGGTATGAAAGGGGAATAGATGGGGAGAAACCAAGACAGGAAAGTCGTCAACAGGAATAGAGAAAGATAAACATTGGTGAAAAATTTTACGAGAGAAAAAAAAGAACTCGACCTGGCAGTGAAAAAAACCCCAAAAGGTTAGGACGGAAGTGGGTGAGAGAAAAGACTCCGGAAATAAGGAGGAAGTTGTTTAAAGCAGGAGAAGCAGCACTGGTTCATCAGATGCGAAATAAGAGACAAGGCTGTTTTAAGAACTCAGAGAAAAGAGTGGTCTCAAATTCACCCACATCTGTTATTTTGCTATTAGAATCATATTCAATTCAAATAAAATACTTTATTTATACCCGAGGGAAATCAAATGTTGATTGATTTTTAATCAGATGTCGTAGATGATCCCTTGTGTGTATCAAATTTAAAATCTTTCCATTGATATTTCACCAGTGTTCGCTACACTACTGTAACAGAGTAACTATTTCTAGTTACTTGCCTAAAAAAGTCAGTAATTCAGTCACTGCCCATCAAATATACTAGTTACTAGTCAGAGTAACTAAGCAGTTACTTTCTATTATCTAATATTTAGATTCAACGATACTTTAAAATGTGATATGACTTAATAGATTTCGATTTAATGCTATGATATCTAGTTCTGTATAAGGTTTTCAACATAAATTAGAATGTAAACTTTATAGGATTTCACATCAAATTACATATTAGGATACAGTTCAGTGTAATATGTTGCTAAATGAAACTATTCCAACAATTTTATTTCAATCAATTAGGCAGGATATGATTTTATTTAATCAGATTCCATAAAATAAAGAATATGATGCGATATCATACAATTCTATCAGCTAAAATGTGATTTAAATCAATATAATAAGAAACAAGTTAATTCAAAGGCCTAAAATATGAACAAAAACTGTTTCTTTTTTTAACTAAAAAAAAAGTTTTTATTTGTATCGTTTGCGATTAAAGATTTTTGATTTATATACAATGTATTATAGATTTTCTGTTCTATGTGTCTGGTTATAACAGTTAAGTTTTTTAACAACAAAAATATCACATGATGATGTAGAGATCTCAAAGCTCATGCATCAAATATGAAACATACGGTGTCAATGACAGTACTATACAATACAGCTTAATCTGATTAAATACAATGAAATAAGGAAGAATTTGTTTCAATTTAATCAAAGTATGCTTTAGACTTGATTTATAGGCAGCCATTAAAAAAGAAATACATGGTACATAGAAATGTAAGCTTTTAACATCAAGTGTATCATATTTGATACATGGATATTTGAGACCTCTACATCATCATTTGATATATTTGTCCTTGAAAATCCCGATTCATACTAGTAGATGCATGTAGAGAAGTGAAATGCCCAATGTATCATAAATTATACAAATAACTTATCTAATTTAACTTAATCGAAACCTATTTTCTTTATATTAGAATGTTTAATTTTTAGGAATCCAGTTTGTGTGGGTTGTTTGTATGTTTTTCTCTCTCCACCACCAGGTGGTGCCCTGTCCATGTTGGTCCTTTCTGCACACCTGTGGCTCGTTGTATCATTGCTGGAGGAGTATTTGAGCAGTGGGCTGTCACTACCTCGACACCAGAGTGTTTGCCAGTTTTGGGTACTCTAGCCAAGCTGAGATTAGCAGAGTGTAACCTAAGCTTTGTTTCTCTGAGTCTTATCTAGTTTTTTGTCTTTGCTCTTCGACAGGAAGCCTTCCTGAGTTACTGGATACCTGGACCTTCTCCCCCTGGAAGGATTAACTGAGTTCACGCTGAGCAGGGGAAAACCTCCACATGATCCGTTCAAGTCCTCATCTGAAATCCAAGTGACAGTCCGCTCCTTTACTCCTCTGGGTCCAACGTATGTCTGCCTGTCCACTCTCTAATGAGTTCCCTCTTCTCTGGATAAACCCCCACAAGCTGGATTCAAGGATTGACAAGAGCCCCCTCGAGAGTCCCTGAACTGATCACTGTGATCTCTCTTTCAGACTTTCCAGTTCCGGTTGACCAATCCACTGAGTTCCAGATCCAACTTCTGTTATTCACCAACATTTAATAAACCTGTTAAACTTTTTCCGTTGGTCTCTGAGTGGTTCTCTGAATGTGGGTCAGATCGCTTAAACCAATCATGACATCAATGACAACTAGATTTCAAAATATTGACAATTATTTCATGGTTTATTTGCAGAGTTTAAAGCAGTTATAAAGAACTTTCAGTTTTGTTCGGTTTTAGCTCCCCCCAGAGGACAAAAGCTGTAATTTTTTGCCTGTAGGAAGAGAACATTTGCCATGAGGTCCAGCGTGGTAAAGACCATAGTGGTTAAATTCGGATCTACTGGCGGCCTGCAGTTGGATTTAAGTAAATTTCTGTTTCCGGTGGCTGTGTTAAATATAAACAAAGATGAGATACTGAATGAAATTGTAGCAAAACAGTCATTCTGGGAAGTATCTATTGGCAGTAATAATTATATTAGATTTTAAAATTTTGTAACAATGCCATTTGAAGTCCAGGTTAATCTTTCTCAGGCAGACGCAGTTGCATAAGTCATTGGCATACTTGAATAATTTATTAATAATTATTAGTCCCCAATAATTTCACAATGGCTTAAAGAAAAACTTAGAACTCAGAACTTCGACATCGCAGAAATTCTCTGCAATCAGAAAACACGAAATGTTTTGAAAAGTTTTTCCTCTAATCTCTGACTTAACACAAGATTGATAAAAAAAAAGCTAAAAAGTAAAATCCCTGTCCCTTTTAACCCTTGTTTTAATGTTATTGTTTTATTATAATTTTTTTTTATTTTGGGTGGAGTAAAGCCTTGGGTATAAAAAATCTAGAAATCTGCTTTACTCAGTAGGCACCAAGTTTGGTGCAAGCATACAAAAGATTTCTAGGTCACATCACCCTTCTGTTAATGAGCATCTAGAGGAAAAGGGTTTAACAGGAACTTTAACAAGTTCTGGCAGAACCTGACGGTGGTCTCTCCAGCCGGCGAGATCACCGTCGGCGGATGTATCTGGAGATTGCTTACCTGTCCATCATCCCGACGCAATCTTGGAGTCTTGGCCCGATGCACCTGCAGGGAAGAGAACCCCAAAGAACCGCTATTAAATCAGGGACAGGTTATGAGCAGACCTCATGTTGCCTTTCTTTTACGTCAATCAGGGGTCTGCGGACCGCTGAGGGGAGGGCTATAGAAAAATGGCTGACCACTTGTCAAGGTGACAGGGAAGAGGTATTTGGGCTCGAGGGTACTGTTTTTGTTTTGTTCCATATTTGAAAGGGTTTGTGGTCTAAGAAAACTAGTCGGCATAAAGCTGTCACACTGTATAAGCTGAGCGACATCACCAGATATAGAAAAATGTATGACTGTAAATACCATCCACAGCTAAATCAAATTATATAGACTATCCAGGAATGAGGTGATATAATCCTCCTTTGTGTATTTCCTAAAAAACAGAAATGCTGCCGAAAGGTACAGAGTGTGATGTTGTTTTCGAGGTGCAGATACGCTGTCAGGTTGGTGTAGGTGGCTTCTAGATTAATATGTTCTGGTGTGACACAGTTTTCTGCTGGGCCTTTTTGTGCAGGACATTCCTCTGACAGTGGCTTTATTTAGCTCATTTTACACTGTTCTTTATTAAATAATAATGTAATCACACAGAGAAAACAAGGCTTTTCACAAGGCTTTTCTTCATTTTAAGTTAGTAATAAACATCTTTAAGCTCTATGCCAGTGCTTTTATATAACTGAGTGATTGCCTATGTTAGGGAAAGATAAAGTGGCTCTGTCAGTGTTTCTCTGCTTAACAGCTTTTTTTCCTTGTTTGTTCCCAACATTTCTGATTGATTGGGGTTGAGTCAATCTGTCCAATTCAAGTTAATTTCTTTGCAAAAATCCACACCTGATTGTACTGCCATTTATCTTGTCTTTTGTAATATAGTTTAGTTTACATGGTCGTTGATATTGGAAAAGCCGATGTGCACTTCCTTTTTTTATGCCCAGATACATGGCATTTAATGATTTACAGACTATTCAGTTTATTCTTAAGTCAATTTAGAGGATGGATGGATGGATGGATGGATGGATGGATGGATGGATGGATGGATGGATGGAAGATGGATGGATAATGTGTTTATGGATACATGATGGATAGATTGGTAGATGGATGGATGATGGATGGAAAATGGATGGAAGATGGGTAGACGGATGGATGGATGGATGGATGGATTGGTGGATTGATGGATGGATGGATGGATGGATGGATGGGTGGATTGATGGATGGATGGATGGATTGAAGATGGATGGATGGGTTTATGGATAGATGATGGATAGATTGGTAGATGGATGGATGGATGGATGGTTTGAGGATTGATGGATGATGGATAAACGAATTTATGTGTGAATAGAATTAGTAGTTAATGAAATACAATTCAAGTCTAAAGTGTAATAGCTTTAAACTTAACTGTCTATTTTACTCCTTAACTGTAACATTGATATTAAAATAGACTTTTTAAAAATTACTTATCAAACATTTAAGCCTGTGGCCCAACGAAAACAATGCATTAAACAAGCAGCCCCTTAAAAATACAAAGTTACTTCACTCTATATCAGAGGTCTTCAACAGGGGGTCCGTGACCCCTAGGGGGTCCGCGGAGGCACTGCATGGGGGTTGCGAAACTTTAAATCCACATTATTATGAATTCAACACACTGTAGTAAACAGATAAATGGAGGCAGAAGATGTCTTTCAGTCATCAATGCTCACATTCAGCGACACACAGGAGCTCTCTCAAGCTGGGCACCGTTTCATTCACAACACCTGTCCCATCAACCAGGAATCAGAAATACTTTAATAATCCCAGGGAGGGATTACTTTAGTTACATTACTCCATCTGTAATAAAGTGACTATAGGACCAGGTTGATATTACACAATTTCATACAATATATATAATTAGGGGGTCCCCGCTCCATCTTGTCATAAGTTTGGGGGTCCTTGGCCTGAAAAACGTTGAAGACCCCTGCTCTATATTATTTCTTTCCATCTAGAGGTAATTAATCATATTAACTTTTCCATATTTTCATTATGACATTTAATTATTTATTTGTTCTTAAATATACCTTTAACTATTTATAGGGACTTTAAATGATCAAACAGTGCATTTTACAATTTAATGGTATCTGAATAAGGTATTTGATTAATAAATGAAAAGATAAATGTACTTTTTTAATGGTAGATTTAGTTATTTTATAGGACATCTATATATTTCTATTTTGGTTCTCTGTTTGGATCGGGGATTACCTCACAATAATCACCCCCACTTCTTTAGAGGATGTTTTTCTCTGTCTGATCGCATTTGGGGTTAAAGAGAGGGAGGAACTTGGAGGCATCTGACTGCAGACAGGGTCACTTAAAAATATCTAATCATACTTTACAGAGTTTATCAATATTATCCGACCCTGCTTTAAAATATCACTTGTTCATATCCAGTTTCCTTTTTTTCAACCAGATATTAAGCTTTTACTATTCAAACCATCTAAAAAGTTGCTTTTTTTAAAGCCTTTATAACTGAAAGTTGTAAGGCAGCCCAGTCTTTATTAGTCAAACACATTTTCAGAAAGGATTTCACTTACAGTATTTTATAGGATGAACAGCTGGACGGTGCTAGATGAAACAGATTTCACTTTTACAAGAAATACATTTCATGCCAGAACAACGTGTTACAGCCCTGCTGTCAGTTCTCAGGTTACCCTCTCTGACTGTTGGATGCTTCTGCCACTGCCTGGCACTTGCTATACCTTCTCTTAGGCCATATGGTGCCCTTTCCAGAAGTTTAATCTCCTTGCAAACTTAATTATAAGAAAAACTGACTGATTAATAAAAGTTGTTATAGAAATGCTTTATGGAATCTAAAACCTGCTGTTAAGCCCAGTACTTCCATCAATTGTGAATCAGGAAACACCCCTTAAGATAAATGATAGAAGGAATATCCAAAAGTGACATTTATTAATAAAAAGAAAGTAGAAACAAAGTAGAACAAAGTTTAGTATTAATATCTATTAAAAATATTAAGCTGCCAAAAATACGTAAAGACCTTTAAAGATATGCCTATTTTCAATAAAAAAAAAAAAACTCCCAAAATTACTGTGTAGATGTTATTTCCTTGCTATCTGAACAACTGCTAAAGCAGAGGGGTATTTCAGTGAAAGGTGATGGAACAGCAGGTAAGCAGGAAGTGATTATGGCACACTCGTCACTGCTCATTAAATCTGGATGCGTGTGTTGAGGGTTTTGAGCAGCAGGGAAGTTGCAGGAGAAGATTTCCTGAATTACTGTGTTAGAGCACACAAAACACAACAAATTGGCCAGAAAATGAGGAGAGCTGGCTTACTTTGGAATTGAAACTAGTGACAACTGAGATCCTGTCAGAGTAGCCTTGTTGTCAGATTAACAAAGTACCAACGAGCTAATTAGCTAGAAATCGTTGTGTTGAAGTCAGCACTTTCTTTATTACTGTAACACCAAACCTCTCAAAATTGACTGTTCCAAGAAACTAATTGGGGTATAATTGTCACAATCTGTCTTTTGGGGGCATTTTTATCAAAATTAACTGTTTACAATCTAACTATAAAAAATTGCTAAACTGATAGTTTAAAAAAAAAAAAGGTAAGAAAAGCTACACATTTTGACGAAAACAGAAAAAGAGAAAATTGAAAAAATACCACGTTTGTTTAATCTTGAAGAATCAAATTTGACTCCATCCAAGTTTAATACATATATTGTATCTTTTTTAAAAGATGAGCAAAAATGCTTAGTATGTTTTATTTAATCGATCAAAATGGGACAGCAGTAGCTGACTTTCAAGTTTCTAAAAAAGGTTAGAACTTAGGTTAGAAGGCTAGAACGATTTAAGACCAGTTCAATATATTGACCTGAATATGTTTTTATTTTCATATCATCCTAAAAATAGTTTCTACATGCTTATTTAGCACACAACGTGTCTACCTTAATAGTAGCGGTAATTAAAACTTTTTTTGACAAAGTTTACAGTTTGAGTAGCTCAGGTTATCCAGAGCTATCTCTATATTGCTGCTATAGGCTTAAGCTGCTGGAGGACATAGGGATCTCTTTTCCTCTACTTCTATCTAATTCTGTTCTCAAATACTCCAATATTTCTTAGTTCCACTTCAAACTTTATCCATCCATCCATCCATCCATCCATCCATCCATCCATCCATCCATCCATCCATCCATCCATCCATCCATCCATCCATCCATCCATCCATCCATCCATCCATTATCTGACACGCTTGCCCCGAGTGGGGTCGCGAGGGGTGCTGGTGCCTATCTCCAACAGTCAATGGGCAAGAGGCGGGGTACACCCTGGATAGGTTGCCAGTCCCTTCAAAGGGACTGGAAAAGGTTCATCTGTTCTGTTCCTGTTTGGCTAGTTTGAGTTAGTCTCCCGTTACCTTTTCTAAGATGAAAAGTATTTAGGGATGAATGCTTCTATGTTCCTTTTGTATGTCTGCTGCTGTCTTGCTCAACCCCCAGTCATTCCCTGTAGAAGGCGTTCTGCTGGAGGTTTCTTCCTCTTAAAAGCGAGTTTTCCCTCTCCATTGTTGCTGTATGCTTTTAAAACTTTCCCTCAATAAAACATGGTTATAGTTTAAATGGTTGATGATGTGAGCAATGGAAAACTAAAGTCAAATTCAATGTTTTATGCCCACAAACCTAGCCATTAATCTTGATTCTGGTTCTGATATTTATACAGTCTAAAATTTACGGAAACTTCAGTAAATTTCTAAAGTAATTTAGAATTTGGTAGGATGAATGGATATGTGGACCTATGGTTAAATGAAATAATGGATGAATTACTGAATAAATGAATGGTTCTGCTCGAGTTTTCTTCCTTTTAATGGGAAGTTTTTCCTCTCCACTGTCGCTACATGCATGTTCATGAGGGATAGTTGTAGTCATTGACAAAATACAACTAAATATCCATTGTCCCTTCACGCTAATCAAGGAAAAGCTCATCCTACCAAGTCAATGACTGGATGCAATCAGCTAATATTCCTTAAATAGAAATCATTTAACCAATCTGCCCGTATAATCTGCATGAAATGCTTCTGTGTATTGCTAGAGGATGACAAGGGGTGTAAATACATAAATAAATAAGATATGATTATTTATTATGGTCTAAAACCTCACAAAATAAATGTTATTTTTACTTTCTGGTATGATCAAAAAATATGTTTTTGTTATTATTAGTCCTGAAACTAAAGTAATATCTCCTACTGAGCTACATCTGATCCCATCAACCTCCCCTCGAAGGCTTTAGCTACAACCAGGTTTCTTATCCTTGGTTCTGTTATCATGGGATCTTATTTTTTTCTTTAAGGCTCAATGCAAGATGTCAAAAAAGGATTCAGTACAGCATGACTAGTCATTGATCAGATAAAAGAAACGGATCAACTTCAAGAGATATGAAGCCAGTCTACATGTATCAGTCCTCTCTTACCCCTGAGTGCAGTTGGCATGGCAGGGATGACACTCGTTGTTGGCCTTGGCGTATTTGAAGATGAAGCTGTTTGCACCTTGCAACCCGTCTGGGCATTTCTCCACACAGTTGGGCCCATCTTTGAAGTGAAGGCATTTTACACACTGGTCTGGGCCCTGGGAGTTAAGCACAATAAACAAAAAAAAAAAAACAAAACTGATGAGAATGACTGATCAGCAAAGAGGTATAATATACAGTAAAAGGATAAGTTGGCCAGTTGAACAAAGAAAAGCAAGCTTAGAACAGGAGGAAGTAATGCAGCAAAAAAGTTAGGTCACACAAAATAGAACAAGGGCTAATTTAGCCCGGCAGAAATCTACCCGGCCATTTATAAAACGCAGATTTAAATTGCCTCCAGTGTATTCTGCAGCAGCCCTGCAGAAATTGACAAAAATGCATGGGAAATCAGGTCATGTCAAAAGCACCGCACAGTGAATGTGACGGAGGAGATGATAAACTGTAACCGAGCAAAAAGCTCAGCTGCAGCCGCGTGATGAATAAGTAAGACGGGTAGTGAAGTGTGAGTACGGATGAAAGTGAGAAAAAAAACAACCTCCAACTGTACTCTTTGTGTATTTACGAATGCGAAGGAGGGGAAGTGTTTTCCGGAGAATCGGATAAAATGCGGAGCTATAGCTGTGTTTGTATGCGTATGCTTGAGTTGTTGTCTGGGAGATGTTCTAGGAGTTTTGGCTCCATGCTCTGCTGCTAATGACTACCATGGTGACCTGATGGACAGCCTCTCCGGGCCTGACAAATCCAGGCACACGCCATCAATAAACATTATTTCTCACATCGCATGTTTGTGGGTGTGCATGTGTGTGTTAGCGCGAGTGCGGATGCATACAGATGTCTCAATGTAATCTCATCCGCATGTATGTTTGGACGGCTGTGGATGATTGACTCTGGTGTTATTTACTACTCAGCTGTGACCAGCATCTGAAAGTCACCAGCTTGTGTGCATCATTGAGGAGTTGCTCTCTTTTTCATCTCTTGCTCCTATTCTATTCTCATGGGGGGGGGGGGGGGGGGGGGGGGGGCAGCCAGAAAAGGTTAGACACATAATCACTTTATTCACCAAACTCAGCCATGCAGGACATTAGATTCAATTCCAGGTAATGCAACTTTGCAAATAAAAAGCTGAATTTTATATGTATAAACATATCATTTCCACATTAGGTTCACCATCAACTATAGGTTTGTGAAGCTTCTTAAAAACTTGGTGAGACTAAGATAAGAAACTGCTGAGTATTCTTATTGTCTATGCAGGGACGTCAGTGTAGTTTGGTACCAAGATTTTTAAAACTGAGAGAAACTTAAAGTTCCTGATAAACATGTAGAGATAAATGTCATAAACTGGCCTTTTACAGATACAATCCTTATAAAATTATTTTTAAATATATTTCTAATAATTCTTAGGAGAAAAGAAATAGTGCTCATTTGTAGCCATTTTCCCTTAGCAAAAAGTTTATTTAAGTATACTAAAAGTGCACTAATTTCATACTTAAAATCAGTGCACTTAGAGTTTACTTATTCTAAACTATATTTCATATATTTAACAATAGTGACTATACTATTGTTTACTTTATTGTTTACTAAAGTATACTTCAAAATGTCCCAATTTAGTTTGAAGAAGTACAATAAAAGTATATTCTTCTGTATACTTTCTAAACTTATACTTAAGTATTCTTAATGGAATTGATCTTAAGTATACTACTTTTTGCTAAGGTTTGTTACCCTTTCTTTCTCGCTAGGGTACACACCCCAATTTGACATGTGTTTATGTGCATGGGCGGTTCTAGATAGGGGCCAACAGGGCCAATGCCCCTGTAGTACTGCTTGGTGCAGGGGCCATGAAAGAAAGAAGTAAACAGTAAATAATATCTTATCATGAGATGCATGAAAAAAATGATACTGATTGGTCTATTTCTATAATTTCATGTTTTATCATTGTAGTTTTATTTAGAAGGTCATAGTTACACTTTTGTATCAAAACTAGTGTTGTGCCGATGCCATTTTTTGGCCCCGATACCGATACCAGATACCTGGCTGTGCAGTATCGGCCGATACCGATACCATAATAATGTTATTGTCATCATGGCTTTGTCAAGCTGCTGCCTACCTTTGTGAAGCAGGAAAAAATCTCATAACAAGTTTTTATTGCCTACCTGGAGTGGGTGACAATAGTTGAATAAACTTACGGCTCTCAAAATGGTATCGGTGCCCTATTTGTTGGTACTCACCGATACCGATACCACCATTTTAGGGCAGTATCGGGGCCCCGTCCAATACTGGCAACACTAATCAAAACCATCAATCTTCCAGAAATGAATATTCACAGGACAAAAAAATAACCACAGACTTATGCTAGACATCATTAAAAAAGATGGTCAAACACAATAAACTTTGGGTTTACTCTAAAAAATGTTGAGCTGTAAACTGTTGGAATTATTCTAGGTTGGGCAATAAATTAGACATGCAATACTTTAATCTGACAAACTAGTTAAAAGCTATTTTTTAATCAGAAATATACGAAAATTACACCATTTCCTTATTAAGAGAAAGACCCACTGTCTCCACATTTTATGAGAAGTTTTATTTGCTATTGTTGTCAAAGCATTTGTAGAGAAAAACTCTGTTGGATCCAGCCTAGCTAATAGTGACTAATTAGCAGCTAATAGACACCAATAATAAACCAATTATTCAGATGAGAGTTAATCAGAGCACGGTTAGCCAACAATTAACCAATTATCCCCTTCAATAACTTTTTCCTAATGGTTAGTCAATGCCTATTGAATGCAAAAAGAAATGGAAAGAAGCCGCCTTTCAATTTCAGTTGAATTTTACAAACCTGAGACGAGACATAAAAAGTGATAGTGAGAAGCAAACAATGGGCTTTGTTGTTATTATGTCATAAAAAAAGCAACAATGTGGTTCCAATATTTTGACTGAACATTTAAGCTGTTTACCCACAAAACACACCGCTTGCAACCAACTCTAGGTGCTTCAAATGGATTTCGTCAACACATATAGACGCCGTTGATACGCATCACTGGATTTTACCACACGACAATCTGGTGTGTCATTGGACAACATTGCATTCCCTTCTGTGATGTGTGTTTTAGTTTGTGTTTTTTTACCCAAAAAAACACAGGCAAAAAACACTTTTAATAAATTTAAATTTATAAATGAAAATCCAGAAATAAAACTTTGAAAAATGTTATAATCAAAAACGTTTTTGAGAGTAAAAACTATTTTCTATTATACAAGTTTGTTGGCTCTGCGCTGCCGTAGCGCAAAGATGTCTGCCTCCATTGCTGCGAGACCCGCTCCTATGTAATTATAAATAACGAATTCTAAGGCAACGCAAATATTAAGGTTAAGAGGCTGAGCTCGTAGATGATGATAAATAACATAGTTATGTATAATATATTACATTTCTGACTGTTTATCCCTGTAATTATTACACACTGTAGCTTTAAATGTTGTGGACATCGTACCAACTGATGTTTCGAGCATAATTCCCAAAACTGTTTACCATAATTCCTGCACTAGAAAAAAAAAAAATTGCATGTATAGTATGTTCCCATTATACTGTTTAAAAATACATGATGTTTGTGTGAAAGTTTTTGGAGCAATTTGCTGTATTAGCTGCATAGTCTTTAGCAGTCACGTATGCAGCAGTGCTAGTTTATCATTGCTTTCATCATCATCCATCCACCTTAGCAAACTCTATAAATCTCTCTCAAGTTCAATGCAGAAAACAGAAAGGCTCCAACATGATTTCACTCTAGCTTAAAGAAGATATGAGATATGCTGTATCTTCCAGAGACATATGGGAGAAGTATTTTTTCTGCATTCCTAACAATATGTTACAACAAAAACAAGCTTCATTCGATCAGGAGGTTTCTTACGGGGCCAAGACATGTAAGGCTGTTTCCGTCCATCTTCTCACATTGGCTGTCGCACTCCAGGCACATGGATCCATTGGCAAATTCCCGCTCTTCCCTGAAGATCAAAATAGAGATGCATGGATTATAGATCTGAGCGTAATCACAATAAAACATTGATTATGAGAAAGCTACAGCAGGATATATGAAGAATTTTACATGAGGGTGAGCCTATCTTGGTGCACTAGAGTAGCAGGCCTTCTACAGACTCGTCTTCCAAGACAGTTTTTTTTTTATTTCTTTTTATAACCAACATGAATAAAGAAACGACCAATGAATAAAAATAACTTTTATGTTTTTAAAATCACAAGCATTTACAATGGGAATAGCAGATAAAGATACATGCTTCAGAGAGAATCAACAAAGTGAGCATATTAAAATGAGATAACGAGGTATTCTGAAATAAAAGAGAAGGCAAAACATATTTTTCTTTATCCTGCGTATGCTGATTGTTGCAGATCTTCCAAACCCTTTTGTTCAGCTAGTTAAAGAGATAGAGTTGGGTTTTATTTTCTCACTTAGACTTCTAAAAGAGAAGACAGTAAACAATAGAGCTCAGTATCGGGTACATCCACTGCAATTACAGGGGCAGAAGCTCTGTATTGCCTCAGGCCATCGTGTTCTTACACTTCTGTGTGTCTACGGTTGGTCTGTACTGGCATCCAATCTATATGCTTCGGTCTATTTTTTCTCTAGAATTATCATCCTGTTTGAAGTGAGGCGTCTCCGGCGGGCAGAGGACGTCTGCTGTCAATAGCAACCGCTGCCGATCAAAACCACTTTTTACATCAGAAGGGATCGATTGGCTGGTGCGGAGGACGGACGCCCTCTCTCCCTTTGAAGGTGTGATGGGATAATGAGTGGTTTGTTTTCATTAGTTTGCAGTTTTTGGGGAGGAATAGAAACAAAGCTAAAGGGAGGAAAGAAACATTCAGACACTTGTTCAAGCTGAGTCATATTAAATTATTATTAAAGAGAAGATAAAAAGTGTAGTGTCCACTTGTTTTAATCTCATTGGTTTATCTATATCAGTGCAGTTTGTTTAAAATATTCCAAAATACAACATGTACAGATAGTCTTATTATAAAATGTTTACTAAGGACTCTCTTTTCTCTTTCTTTCCCTAAGTCCAAAATAAATTTGATTATTATCAGAGGCCACGGGACAGACATCTTTTTTGTTGGCTGAATGGAAGAAAAATACATGAAGCAGAGTGGGTGAGAGACAAAGACCACTGCGGCAGTGCTCTCCAGGGTAATTTCTATTCCGTCAAAGCCGTTCCTCCTGATTGGCCCTCTTCACGGCTGAAAGTGTGCGCCAAGGCCCCCATTGGGGGATGACCTGATGGGGGATTATCCCTGCTTTAGCAGGAATTTAAGCAGGACTGCGGCCCCAACCCTTCAGACCTCAAAACATCCAGCGAGCCAAAGCGTGGTCCACCCAGCAGAGCAACTTTTTTAATTAACCACTTTCAGTGCCTCCCTTTACCCAGTTCCTCCTTCCTTCTCTATCCTCAGCGAACACCATCTCAAGTCTTTTTCTTTTCCCCTCTCGCACGCCTTTGCTCTCCCTTTGTTTTATTCAACAGACTTATAAACTAAAGGGAATTAGCGCCTTTGCTCATTAAGAATGGATACACAGAACAAGAGCAAGCTGAAGAATCTTAAGATTTAAAATCACTAACCTGAAAACATTTTTAATGAGCTAGCACGAAATTCTTTGGAGATAAAGACTCCAACGGCCTCAGAACAAAGTAAAATATTATACCAATCAGAAGTGAACTCAGTATAACCTAAGACACTTTAACTAAATACAAGAAAATTTAGATTTAAAGACAGCAAGACTGAGCTGAAAACTGATAGCATTGACCAAGGACAACAAGACTTCATTTCGATTCGTCTTTATGCAGATGATAAAATATTTACAAAAATATGTCCTTTAAGCACAGTTTATCAGTATTTTTTAATAGCCATTTTTTTTCTTTAATGTATTAAAGCAGTTATTTCATTTTGGTTCTGACCGTAAACAGGCATAACATTATGACCACATGCTATATTAGTTGTGAAACCAACCCAACTAAGGACATCATATCCTCCTGCATATTGCCTCCCCATTAAAAGAACCGCTTTTAATGAGATCCTTTAAATACTTTTAAAAACCTTAAATTGCATTTTTATTAGATAAGTTCAGCTTTTAGAGAAGGAAAGCCTCTGCTTATATGGTAATTGACCAAATTTACTCGTAAGTAAGACCAAACTGAGGAGAGTTTAGGAGTTTACTCTACCTAGAATAAAAGCAGCTGGTGTAGTTTTTCTTTCATTCACGTAACTTAATGTGATGCCAAATAAAGCATTAAAATTTCATTTTTCTGCTTCAAAAAATGGTCATCTGAAATTCCAACCCATCCACTTAGGTTCAACATATTTCACAATTCCCATTAAATATTTGTTATTTAAACACATTAGATAAAAAATTTATTCTGCCTAGTAGAAATCCAAATATTTGCCCTGAAGAAAAAAAACTATTATTAGTTTTAGTCACATTTTGGTCATTACGATATGTGATAGTTTTAGTCGGTTTTAGTGCCAAGTAACCAGATTGACTGACAGCTCTTGCCTAGATATTACAATTGCTGAAGATACAATGCTGCTGTGCCATTCATCGTTGCTGTTGGGCAGAAAACTTATTTTCCAAAAATAATATTTTTTATGAATTAATGCCCTTTTTTATAAAAAAGATTCTCAAAAAAGTTGTGAAAATAGCAGATGCAGTTCAGCACATCATATCGGTTAAAATAGCAGACAAACAAGCTGACAAAATTTACAATAAAGGAATGGTTTTAGACATATAACGTTTCCATCCAAAAGCAAAAACTTCCTGAGATACTATGAATTATGCATTACACACAAATGAATCAAGCTTTATTACTCCAAAAAAGCAATGAACAAAAACATTCTTCTTTCTACTTTATTTCTAAAAACCTGGTCAGCGCTGCTCAGTTGTGGAGTAGATTTAAATTCATAGGGGTCTGATATAAATAATTCCACAGAGAAAATACATAACTGCCTTTTAATGCCTTGGCAATCTGGACCTAAATTTCAAAAATATGTGAACTAAAACTCTGAAATATTCAAATAGATAGAAACAAGAACTATGAGACTTTTCATCAGGGCCTATTTCCAAGAATAAACACTAAGCAATTAAGTATATGCTTCGGATATAATTAGGGATTCCTTTTGGTAGAAATACAAGAAGGTTATCGCCTCTTATGAGCTGGGTAAAGTCAAATCTTGATAGAGATCAGCCACATATAGTTTATTAAGTAGCGGGGGCAGAAAGAGCCATACTGCTAAGTGTGGACCATCAGTATGGAGGGTAAAGCAAAGATTCAGAGCTTATCCACACATTTCTGCACAAGCAAAGCTGGAAGGGCTGTCAGAGTTGAGCGTGCAGTACCAGACCATTCCGAATAACTTTCATCCCTGCCGCTGCTGTCATTGTCCCTCTGTGGTCATGCAGAATGTGCACGGCTGCACACCAGGTGGGTGGCATGACCTAACGGAACGCAGCAGCACGGCTGACACTGCTTAGCAGATTACAAAAAAATGATGCATTTTAAACTTCCAACAGACGACCGGTAACATTTTTGGTTAATCTCATTACGTCGACGGAAACTCACACCAATGAGTTGTCTTGTGTTCTGTCTTCAAAGATCCATGATTAGGTCGTCTGTTTTTGTTATCGTCATGAAAGAAGGACCATCAAAGAAATCATTTCGTCATTGTTGATAAAAACAACACTGCTCATACTACACTGGCATCCTCAGGAATCCCTTCCAATAGAGTTAAAAAACAATCCACTGAACTTTGTTTCTAAGTTTGAAGATAATTCTCTTCCCATCCTGGAAGCTTTTTTAATTCAAAATGTTACAATTACAATAAGATCTAAGCTTTATAGAGTAGCCCGAAACAAAGCCTTGTTTTGGCTTAGAAAACATGCAAATGGAACCAGAAGAAGGGATCCGCCTCTTAGGAATGGGGAGTTGTTTGGGTTCTTTGTTATCATGCAATACCCGATACTAGGAGGCGAAATGTCTTCAAACTTGGAAAAAAAAGTCCAGTGGATATTTTTTTTACTTTTTTGGAATGACTATGACCTGGATGATTGAGAATCTTCACCAGCATAATCGGAAATCACCCAAACCCTTTCTTTTTAATTATTTGGACGACTGCAGCTCACCTTTTTGTCAACCAACATTTAATTAGAATGTCGATAGAGACTGTATTGGCTAAGCAAACATACAAAAATTAAAAACGGGCTCATGCAACATGGATTCTATGGCTCTCCACTCCTCGTTTAGATTGAATGCCAACTTTAATTTCATCTGAAAAGATTAATTTGGACCACTTGGCAACAATCCAGCTATTTTTTTATTTATTTTTTTGTTAGCTCAGGTAAGACACCTCTGATGTCTGCAATTTGGGACTGGATTGACACCAGGAATGTGGCCCTTGATGCACCGGCTCAGTCCACTGCCCTTGAAGTACCCCTTATATTCCTAAATGGATTTTGTTTAACAATCCTCTTAAGGCTGCGGTTATCCCTTTTACTGATGCACATCTTCCCACATCAGATCTCTTTTCATCGACTGCCTACATGAACATGTGTAGGTACAACACTGTCTGAAAAAGTGCTCCCTTCTCGGTGAACAGTTGTAGTATTCCTCACTTTAGGAAGTTGTTGATCTTCTGGACATCTGTCAGTTTGCAATAATATTTTAATTCATTGGACGATAAGAGTGTTTTATTGTGTAGCTTGTCAATCTTTAATTAAAGGCTTAAAATTGAACTAATCTCATTGTAGAAACGTAACCCTGCCCCCATACAATTCATTACAATTGTAGCAGAAGTGTGGTCAAAAAACCAAAGAAAGTGGCAGCTAGCCTCACCTAGCCTAGAATGTAAATGGAGCAAAGTGGTGCTAGCAATTACCACACAAAGAGATCTTTAGGGTATAGAACACCCCCCTTTATCATCTAAGGTTTGCATACCATAAAAACATTGATACACTATAAAATATTTCATATTATGCGTAACAAACCTATATATTACATGGATATTAGTTTCTGAAATGAAGGTACCTATTTATGGCTATCAGAATAAAATCATGATTGTTTCTATGCTTCAGCAAACTAAATGTTGAACAATAAAATGTGACATTTCCACAACCAGGTCTCGGTTAATCATGCACCAGACATTGTTTATTGATATTTTATGAGGCAATCCATGCTAGTGCAACAGGTGGATATTCTGAATACTCCTGGCAGTATCATGCCTTCACTGTATGTACAGTACAGAAAGCAGGCATGCTTCAGAAGCTCCCTGCCACGAGCCTCTCCCTCGTCTTCTTCAAAGCCTCGCTGTGAGCTGCTTTTTCCCCGGCAACTTCAAAGCCTCCCTCCCACAAACGGCACCGGAAAGCACCGGCAACGAGTCAACATGACCAAGGGTTGCATGCTCTCATAAACCCTCTCTGTACGCACATACACTTGCTCTCTAGGGGAAAATACAAGCTTCATATCATGGCTTATTCTGAGAAGAAACAAAACGATGGGCTGCTAGGGAAGGTTTACTTTGGTGTGATTGGTCTACCAGATCTCATTCAAAACGGTTCCTCCTTTATTCATTTAGGGTTAGCCTCTAGAAAAGCTTTTTTTTTTTTAACCGAGAGACTACTCACAGCACAATTTCGATGTTTTAATAGGGTCCTATATTATTGTCTTAAGAATTATTAATAATTTTTGTCACATGTTTCTTTTAACAGTCTGAGTTCTAAGATCAGTACCATACATGTTTTCATGAATCCAACCATATTATAAGAGTAAATTAACAATAAACTTAAATTCTTTCCTTTTAAATATCCATTTATGTTAGAGCTTCTTTTCAAATTTCTAGCAGAATCTGTCTAACCACAGGATCCCAAAGAGCAACACCATTACCCAAACTAAATAATTCAAAGAAGAATTATGCTGGTTGAAAGGTTAAATATCTTTTTTGCCCAATATGTGGGAGAAGTTTTCCTCTATTTGCCACAGTTGCCTCTTCAGGCTCGATTTGTTAGTTCACGAGAGAGTGATTGAGGTTAGATAGTCTGGGCGTGGGTGTTCACCGAGCTGCTTTGTTAAGTCTCCATCACTACTGACCCATTAGAGAAAGTTTATAGGTGACTGGAATCCCACCTAAAACCCCATCACAGACTCCATTTAAGATGGAGAAAATAAAACTTTGGTCTAAAGCGACTAAAAGGGCAACAATGTGGTTTGATTGGCAACGGAATAAAACGATAGTAACCATGGAGCCGCTTTTAACACATTGAGAGTGCTCAACTCTCACCTGGAAATAAAAAAGCATCTGCAGTTGCCACTTGTTTTGTTACAAAGGTAGGATGTAACAGAAATCTTATATTTGTGACCAAAAAAAGGAGATATACACTATATTGCCAAAAGTATTTGCTCACCCATCCAAATTATTGGAATCAGGTGTTCCAATCACTTCCATGGCCACAGGTGTATAAATTCAAGCACCTAGGCATGCAGACTGTTTTTACAAACATTTGTGAAAGAATGGGTCGCTCTCAGGAGCTCAGTGAATTCCAGCGTGGAACTGTGATAGGATGCCACCTGTGCAACAAATCCAGTCGTGAAATTTCCTCGCTCCTAAATATTCCACAGTCAACTGTCAGCTGTATTATTAGAAAATGGAAGTGTTTGGGAACGACAGCAACTCAGCCACGAAGTGGTAGGCCACGTAAACTGACGGAGCGGGGTCAGCGGATGCTGAAGCGCATAGTGCGAAGAGGTCGCCAACTTTCTGCAGAGTCAATCACTACAGACCTCCAAACTTCATGTGGCCTTCAGATTAGCTCAAGAACAGTGCGCAGAGAGCTTCATGGAATGGGTTTCCATGGTCGAGCAGCTGCATCCAAGCCATACATCACCAAGTGCAATGCAAAGCGTCGGATGCGGTGGTGTAAAGCACGCCGCCACTGGACTCTAGAGCAGTGGAGACGCGTTCTCTGGAGTGACGAATCGCGCTTCTCCATCTGGCAATCTGATGGACGGGTCTGGGTTTGGCGGTTGCCAGGAGAACGGTACTTGTCTGACTGCATTGTGCCAAGTGTAAAGTTTGGTGGAGGGGGGATTATGGTGTGGGGTTGTTTTTCAGGAGCTGGGCTTGGCCCCTTAGTTCCAGTGAAAGGAACTCTGAATGCTTCAGCATACCAAGACATTTTGGACAATTCCATGCTCCCAACTTTGTGGGAACAGTTTGGAGCTGGCCCCTTCCTCTTCCAACATGACTGTGCACCAGTGCACAAAGCAAGGTCCATAAAGACATGGATGACAGAGTCTGGTGTGGATGAACTTGACTGGCCTGCACAGAGTCCTGACCTCAACCCGATAGAACACCTTTGGGATGAATTAGAGCGGAGACTGAGAGCCAGGCCTTCTCGTCCAACATCAGTGTGCGACCTCACAAATGCGCTTCTGGAAGAATGGTCAAAAATTCCCATAAACACACTCCTAAACCTTGTGGACAGCCTTCCCAGAAGAGTTGAAGCTGTTCTAGCTGCAAAGGGTGGACCGACGTCATATTGAACCCTATGGATTAGGAACGGGATGTCACTTAAGCTCATATGTGAGTCAAGGCAGGTGAGCAAATACTTTTGGCAATATAGTGTAGCTTATGTAATGCTTAATCCTTAGCAGGAAATGCTTCCGCTCTTCGCCAGAGGACAGGACTGCTACAAAAACTCTAGAACTTTAACTGGAGCAATCACAGTACAGTAGTTTCTCTCAGGGTTTTTCTGACTAATGAATAAATAACTGATTTGCTCTTGGAGTAATTTTGGTGGGTGACCCTCTTTAGGAAAGTTCCTCTTCTATGCGTCTTCCACGTGTGGATAAAGACTTTGACTGTGGATCCCAAAATGGTGGGTCTCAAAATGGTTTTGTTACCTTCCTCACACTGATAGATGAACAATACGTCTTCACCGCTGTTCTTTAAGGCATTTTTTTGTGATTTAATAATAACAAGACTTGGGGAAAACAGAATATATACAAACCTTAAGGAAAAAACACATATAATGCTGCTGAAAAACAATCTTTAAGATGATCGAGAAAATATTTTCTGTGTGAAAAAAGATGTCATTGTGCAAACTTGCTGGTTTAAGTGTAATGTTTTGAGACACATTTTCTGCTTTAGAATCTGGGCGATCTTTCCTAACACAAATTTTGTCCTCTTCCAAGAACACCCAAGAATATCGTCAAATATACTTTTGTTATGTTACAGGACAAACATCAAAAGCAAACTATAGGGTTTCTCTCTGACTAGCTCAGCAGAAAGCAATCAGAGGAAATGGCGTTGTCATTCCTGGAGAGTAGTCAATGTCAGGAAATGACTATGCAATTTCAATCAGAAATGGCGTAGTCAATATCCAGACATAGTTTTTGTACGATTCTTTGAGTCCATTCACGATAAAAACAACTCAGTTATTTAGTCTTTCCATTGGGTCACGTTGGCTGGGATTGCTTTCCTCAATTGGCATTAAAAGAATGGCATTAGTAATCTACATGCCGGGTTTACTCAGGTAGTCTTTGGTTTTAAAAATTTGTTTGATGACGATACGCATAAAACAAATCAAACCCGGAAGGAAATAAGTACAGCAGACATTAAATTAGTTACAGAAATGAATTAAGATCTACTCCAAGTAGGAATTGGGGAGGGTTTTAGTCACATATTCCAATCAGCCTTCAGCCCAGAGCAGTAAGTATTGAAATCTGTCAGTCTAAATGGGTCCTTATTCAATCTAATCCTCCAACATCTACAGTATTTAAATTGAATTTGCTCGATGGATGTAACATCCAACCAAACGTTCCTTCAACGCTTTACACGGTGTAATTCCTTATTGGCTCATCTCATTACATTCATACCAATCTGCAATTAGATTTCCTCCTTCAGAGCCCTTGAGGATGTTTTGACTTCATTCCTGAGTATTAAAGGAGCTTCAGTTGATTTTATTTCCTCTGCATGTCACATGCTGAGAGAAATGAATGTGGTTTCATGAAACCATAGGTGTCTGGTGTGCAGAAATAAAAGGAAGTTTATTGTCTACGGAGTTTGTTTCTTGAGTCTTTTGGAAGATGAAAGGATTTCTCACCCATCAAAGAGGTTGCAAGATTCAACGCAGGTCCGGCCTCGCTTAAAGTATCGGCAGAAGAGGCACTGGTCGGGCCCTGGACCCCAGCAGCCATCGTCCGAACACATGCGATCACACACCATTCTCTGCTGGGCTGAGACGAGAAAGAAAATAAAGAAAATTAACTTTTTATTAAAAGGAACCATTGATATTCCCAACACCTCCACCGATGGAGAGAACCCAAACCAGAATCCTTGGCCCCCAGTTCTCCTCTTTCCTGTCAAACTGCATCAATCAATGCAGTTCATGGAGTCACTGTTCCCTCCATCCGGTGAGTGACATAAGAAATCCCTGCACCCCCTGTCAACAGCAGAGCGCTCAGTCATAGACAGTGGGTAGACAGTGTTAGCTCTAATCAATCAAACCCCAACACAGACACTGGACTCATTAACTGGTTAAAGCTCAGCTGCAGCAAAGGTGAACTCTGATTCATGTTCTCGTTCAATTTTTTTAAATAATTTTTCCCTGTTTTAGCCATTACGAACCAACATGCCAAAGAGCCTTTCCTTCTTTTTGTCTGTTCGGCTTCTGCTAAATGTTTGGCTCTGTTGGATTTGTAACATCTAGTATTTGCGATTGTATGCTATCCTCATGTTGAAGTAGTTAAATGGTTGTAATCGAGGGAACCAAGGTCCGAATCCTGGTTGCCAAGTCTGTGAGTACAAATTTGATAAATATTGAACAGCCAAATTTTTTTTAACAATTTAATCTAACCCACTTCAATCACCCAGAGTTAAAATTATCTATAAGATCCCACCCTAAATGGTAAATTCTTCCTTCATCTCTTATCTTGAGCAGGGGTTCCCAAAGGGGCGGGGTCACCTCAGGATGATCAAGGGAAAAATATATCCAGATATACGTGTTACACATAAATATTAATTGGGGAATACATGATTTACATATTAAAATATTGGAAATGCAATTTAATTTGAAAATGAACAAATAAATAATGAAATGTCTATTTATATAACCAAACATAGAGTTAACAGGATGAATTAAATGATGAATATTCATTTAAATATGAATTTATTCTTTCAAATGAGTGTAAATACTTCATTTAACATGTATAAGCAAAAATAAAGCAATTATTTGTACTTTTATGGGATCACAGGTCAATTGAAGTTGGATTTTTGGGGGGTTACAGGCTGAATAGTTTTGGAGCCTTCCATGAAAAACATGATTTTAATATCAACAATCTCAATAAATAATAAAAAAGTAAAATTAAATGTCCTGATAAAAATTAAAAATGTTTAAAAACATTAATGTTAACATTTATTTAAATTTAATATTCATTTAAACTGTACTTAAACTGAATATAGCTCGTTCACGAACTTATTGGTTCAATGTGCAATTAATGAAGATTGGCCACCAGGCTGGTCCAATTTAGCCATGACACCTCCCACACTAAAATGAGAGGTGTTTCAGTTTTATTGTCCAGCCCCTGTATATGTGTAAATAAACTTAAAGCGAATTAATTATATTTATTTTTAAGGGGGTTAAAAATACTAAAACTCAACGTCTTTTGGAACTATGCAGGAAAGCAAAGATATTATCAAATAAAAATAAGAAATTGTGAGAAATATAAGCAACAGTGACGCCTGAAGAGAAGCTGAACCCCTCAGGAATTTAATGTCGTAGAAATGCTGAGTACAGCCTTGAAAATCCAAGCGATGACTCTGGAAATGAACTCTGCTGCCATAGACATGGTTGTATCAGTTTGACTTTGTGTTTGCAAGGATTTAAGATTAGACTTAAACAAGGAACTGTATATTTCCCTTCTTTATGTTAAAGACACTCTATTTATTGAAAAAAAAACTTGAATTAGTAATAGCTCTAATCAATCAAGTAGGGGAAAAATAGTTGGAACTGATCCTAAATCCACAAGGAAATGCAGGTTCTGATGTCTGGGGACTCAAACGAGTTTTATTTATTTACTTTTTTATTCTTGTTGGAGGTTTCAATGAAAGGTTTTAATGGTTTAGAATTTCACCACCTTCTACATGGTTTTAAAATTTCATACTTTTAAATGTGCAAGTGTTCAACTATTTTATTGCCTTTAGGATGGTTTGTTGATAAAACAAAATATTTTGAAGGAAAATCCATTTACTGGTTACATAATAAAATAACAAATAATCACGTTCATGTATTTAAACGTAAAGTTTACCTAAATTTAATAGGAATGAGTTAATTTTTTCCTAATACATAAAGTTTATTTGCTGCATAATAATCAGGGTTACCTTTATGCAATTCAATCAAACTTTATGTATTTGACATAAACTCATATGTATAAATTTTAGATAAGTATACTTTAGTGATACTAAATACATAAACCTGATGATTATGCATTTCAAATAAATAAGCTTTATTATACAAGTGAATGATGTAAGGCTTATTTAATAGGTTTGTGTCAAAATTATAAAAAAAAAAAAAAAAATTAGAATTTGTTATGTAATAAAGTTAGTTCCTCAAACTTTGGTTAAATATTTTTTTGAGTGTAGTTGAGTAAGTGGAATTTTCCTTTGTGAAAAGTGTGTAACTGATTTTGCAACAGTCAGTTCACATTTATTAAGTTAGAACAATGTTGTGATATTACAGAAACCAGCTACATAGGTATTTGAAATCCTCCAAATCTGGGTGCTGGGAGGATCAGCGGCTGTTCTGGGTTTATTTCCTGTACCTTTGTCGCTCTCCTTCCTTTCTTTCTCCACCATCTTACCTGTCAAACTATTACAAAATTAAATCTATAAAAAATCTACCAATATATACAGTACAATAAATATGACTTTCCTAACCCTTGGGTTAAAATAAAGGTGACTCAACATTGTTTTTTTTTTTTTAATGAAGCTAGTCAAGAAGATGAGTTAGTTTGTCTTCATATCGAGGCCTCGTTTGAAGCACGTAGAGTCCACAAGGAATTGATCCGCCTGTAACAGCATCTGAAGCTTTTATTCTCTGTGCGGCTTTTCCCTCATTCTGGGAGGGTTCAGCACAAACTGCAAGCTGATAGCACTGCACTACACAAGTTTATAACGGTTTCAAAGGCTGTCCAATCTGTTAATAGCGGTAATATTTATGGTTTAAACCACAGGATGTTGCACGTAGGAGCTGTTCCTCATGCTATTTTTCTGCACACATCCGTCTGCATCGGTATACATTTATACACATGTATGCAGTGCAGGAACTCCGACCCCATAGACGGTGCTGATGATGTAATTTGGCCGCGCAGACCTCACTGACACGACAATCCTAAACCAAGCTTTCTATGGCACAGATTCATCTCAGTCCCTCCTTACAATTAAAAGGTTTATAGAGCTGTGACAATCAAAGACAAGGGTTATTTTTATATCTCTGCGTCCAAGCTTCTTCATTAGGTAAATGACATCTTGGGGCCTGCAAGTTTTGTGGTTTTTTAGTTTAAGGATTTTTTATCGTTGCAAACATCGTAACAAAGGTTTAGATTTTATATTTGAAGTTCAGCCAGTAAAACCATTAGTTTTCTTTTTTTTCAGTAGAGATAAAGCTTTAGGCTCTGACCTCTAGTCTTTCTCATATTCGTGGTCTATATTGATACAGAGACTGGAAACAAACCATTTTCTTATGACCACCCCTCTCTCTAAATGCAACCAATTTAATAACCTTTGAATGAACATTAATTGGCTGCAGAGTTTCTGAGAGGTAAGTTCATTATAGCTGGTGTTTATCAGAGAATGCTTTAACCAAATTTAAGTAACCAATTTTCTTTAGCTCTAATAAAGCTAGGAGCAGGTGCCCTCAGCTTCCCCCCCTATTATTGCTGAAACGCTTTGGTTTGGGCAAATCAATCAACAATGAATGTATCTCCCTCAGAGGAGGCGTGGTTCAAAATGCAAAAATCATTAATAATGAAAAAAAACATGAGATTCTTTTATTTGGATTACCTTTTGGTCATTAAAAAGAGTAAATTATTAACAATTTGATTAACTTTCTCCTTATAAAATGGTCAAAGCGTTCATAAATACAGCTATTATTTCAAAAGAAAGTTCATGGGACTCCTCCCACTACAACAATCAGTCCAACAGAAAGTAGGACAAATGTATTAATAAAGAAAGCCAGTCTTGGACCAATTAAGTAAGTAAGTAATGTTTTTTCATAAAGCACTTTTCACAGACATAGAGGTTACAAAGTACTTTACAAAATTACATTACAAATACTGTAGAAATACATTTAAATATACAGTCACAAAAGACATGATCATAAAACACTACTTTAGATTTATTAATGCATTATAACGAGCTTTTAAGGGCATTTTAATTAAACCTTTACACAAGAAATCTGCTCTTGATTTGGTTTTACCAGTTACCTCTCAACTACAAAGAGTCACACATTCACAAGCTCTTAAAGTGATCATTTGTTAGCTCTAACAATGGATTTGTTTGATAAAATTTTTTTTGTGTGTAAAAATAAAATAAAAATACTGTAAGCTGTTTAGTTTTAATACATTTAAAGACATTGTGAGACGGGCATTGCCATGTTGTTTACCCTGCAATATATTTAGAGTAAGTGCATATATGACATCATGCAGTGTTGCCCAGTCCAACTAAAATAGTAATGAGTAACGTTAAACCTTTTCAGTTTAAACCACAGAGTGTTGAAAGAGATTAGAATGTGGAAATCATGTTAAATAAGGAGGACCGGACAGAGAAAGCGGGGAGAGTTATATGAAAAAGCTGGTGTTTGTGCAGCTGCTCGTCAATACCCGATCCGTCCAAGAACCATGTGTTAGGAATCCAGTTTGTGTGAGTTGTGTTTTTTGTGTCTTTCTCTTCCTCCACCACCAGGTGGAGGCATCTTCTCCTTGGTCCTCTCGCACACCTGCGGCTGGTTGGTTCATCACTGAGGACTACTTAAACGGTGGACTGTCACAATCTCGACGCCAGAGAGTTTGCCAGTTTTGGGTACTCTAGCCAAGCAGAGATTAGCTGAGTCTAACTGAGTCTTTGTTTCTCTGAGTTCTAACTGTGTTTTTGTCTTTGCCTTTTGGCAGGAAGCCATCCTGCAAGCGGGTTGTTTTTAGCCTTCTTCCCCTGGAAGGATTGTTTGAGTCTCACACCGAGCAGAGGATTAACCTCCACAAGTTCCGTTCAAGACCTCCTGGATTCCAAGTGACAGTCCTCTCCATAGTGCCTCAGGAACCAACCAAATTAAAACCTGTCCGCCCTCCAACAACTTCCTCCCTCTGGTTAGCCCACACAAGACTGGATTCTGCTGTTTATTTCTGCCTGCCCTTTTTACATTTCTGTATGCATTTCTGTCTCATTATGCAAATGAAGAGAGGGTGCGTCCTAAAGAGGCAACTTCTGCTCATTGGTTGGCGGTCCATCTTCTTAACTCACAGAGCTCAGAGTACTAAGTGAAATCTAAGTTCTCTTTTCTGTTGCTGTTGTTCAATAAAAGTATGTTTTAAGATTATTTGAGGCGAGAACCTTATACTTTTAAGCATCACCATATGGCCGATTCACAGATTCAAAGCGTAATTTAAAAGAAAATGTTCCGAACTTGAGAGGACCGCGGCAACCAGCGGAGCTCCGAACCTCACGGCAGCCGGGTCTAACGGCAGCCCGTCTGCAGCGGCCCTCTCTCGGCATAGCCAAGCATTTATTTCTGTATTTATTTTTAAATATGGCAGAGTTGGTCCTCCATACAATAATTACGCTTGCTCTTGATCAATAAAATTGATGTTAACGCTCAGGCAGACCTTAATTGTATAGTTTTTTTTTTCAATTTCCATTTAACTTTATAGATCTCACATTGGAGGAATTTACCTCTGCATATAACACATCCTCCTGGGGAGCAGTGGGCTGAAATCATGGGGTGCCCGGGGAGCAATTGGGGGTTAACGGTCTTGCTCAGAGACCCAGAGGGGCAGTCTGTGAGAATGGGTTTTGAACGCACAACCTCAGAATACCAAGCTCTATGCCCTAACCACTAGACCACCACACCAAAACATGTCAAATGCAACAATAATGGAACACAATATAATCCACATTTATACCCTCTGTTGTAATTTTTATCAGAGTAATAATATTTTGCCTTGTTTGAGTTGTAGTTTTTTGCAAAATTTGATAATCGACCATGGGTACTTACTGCACTTCTTTGGGTCATGGTTGTCGCGCATGAGGACTTTTTGTTCCGGGGTCCTAAACAGTGACGTCCAGTTGACGGTGTTGTAGAAGCAGAGGCGGGTGTTGTTCATGATGTAGACATTTCCCGCGCTGATCTCATTTAGCGACTGGAAGTGAAGGGAGGATATCCAGCGCTGCTTCAGGATCAGCAGAGAAATACCACCAGCGCTGCGAGTGAAAGTTAAAATGGTAAGAAGCACAGAAGAATACTGACTAACCAAGACAAAAGACACAGAAAATAACCACGTGGAAGAACATGAGGTTAAAGCTTTAATAAGACTAGGTGTTGTTTTATCACTTGGATTTCCTACTTGGAGGCAGCTTGGAGTCTGTCATGAAAACAGTAGTTTCTGATCAATGACGGTGTGGTTTCAGGATGTCAAATGCATAACAGTTTTGTCATGTTAAATCATCATTTTTGATCAACCAACAAAAAAAAACTGCACTTAGAATACCATTTGACAAAAAAGTATCTGAGTGTATGACTCTTAAAATTACAGACCAATTGTTTGCAAAATATCTCAAACTAAATCAGATGAAAATTTAAAAAGAAAACAACTAGCCTTTTACAATAGTTTTCCTATAAGGAAAATTAAAAAGAAAGAAAAGGGGAACACCTCCAAACTGCACCAACTTATGCTTTTCTTTGGGCTAGTTGCTGGGAAAGCAATAAGAATGTCATGTCCTTTGAAAAAATAACATTTGATTTCATTACATTCAATAAGTTGAAAAACCCAAAAACATAGCCTTAAGTTGGCAGTAGATTGCAGGAAATTTGAAGGCAAAACATAGAGTTTGAGACATTACAGTTAACAGGTTAAAATCTAAACCTTGCTTAAAAACAAAACTACTGTTTGTATGCAATTAATGGGCTTTTTGTTCTTATAAGTAACCCTAAACCCGAGTTAATTCCTTTAAAAAAAGTGAAGTCGACGCAGCCATGAGGCACGGTTGAATGAGCTTGCATTTCAATTTAACAATATAACCATCTAAATCAAATTTTTTTTGTCCCTATCGTTATTATTCAATGTGAAATGATATAACAACCGACTCCTTTTGGGACATTTTGGAATGGCAATCAGGTGGACAGCTTTTCATAAGAGTGACAAGTGGCGTCCTCTTCTGGGTGCGGCCAAACTACAACATTCCCTTCTCTCCATTCCCCAAAGCGTCTGCATTTTTCTTACAAATTTTCCACCATTTAAGAAGAAACAAAGATTCTTCCCAGTAGTATATAACACACTTCCAAGAAGTAAGTGGAGAAAACAAGAACTAATCAAAATGTCCAAACAAGAAAGTCATCCTTTTGGGGAAAGTTGCATTTTCATTACCAACGAGTAATGAAACGAGCTGTGAGTAATGCAATCAAGCAAGAATCATTATAACCTGCATCCTCACTTATTCATCCAGGGCATTTATGCATGCATATTACATGTTCAAGTACATGTTCTGATCTTACCTATAAAGAACTCTGCCTCCGATGGTCGCCAAGTTGGAGAAAACACTCAAATCCGTCATGTTTTCAGGCCAGGACTGGATGTTGAGGAACCCTTAAAACACATTAGATAGAGGAGTTTGGCATCTAATACAACTTTGACTTTAACTTTAGAAAAAAGAAAAATGGAAAAGAGCTTCAGGAACTTGCATTGTTTTTTTTTTTGCTGTAAAAAAAAAGAGAAGGCAGCCTGCGCTAATTAAAAGAATGCATTTAATACTTGGCACAATTTTTCTATTTGTGCTTGCCTTTAATGACAGATTATATCAAATCAGCAGCTATGGAAATGACATTAACAGCATAGAAAGGGAAATGGTGGGGGATGGAGAGGCCATTGCTCTTTTTTATTGCTGGTGTTTTCATAATGAAAATGCTGTTTCACTCCATTAGCTGTGAAACTCAACAGCAAGTTGCAGTTTAATATGACGGAAAGGGGTTTGCATGCAAGGTTTTACTCATCCCTTTAGAGCTCTAACAACTAATGCATAAAACACACAACCACACACCGAATGTCTGTCTAACCATCATATAACACTCATACAGGATGCACACAGTGAACACAAATTAAATGCGGTAACTGTTATCTTCAGCTGATTTAACTTTCAATAAGAAAGTTTCACCTGTGATCTCCTTGACTGTTCGGAAAACATTAAGACGCTCCGGGTCCAAAGGTCCAATGCCATGATACATGTCCCTAATGACAACCAAAGCAGAGAGTAAGTTTCCATTTCCATAAGCTTGATTAAAAACAAACTAAGCATGTAAAGAATGCAGTGTTAAAAGTAAGGTTCATCACCTACATCATTTAATTTGCATTTACAGTTCATGGCCTACTTAATAACAGGAAGGAGTTGTGGTTTGTTCTATCACCTAATGAGAAATACTGCCAATTTACTGGCAATTTCACTACCTCCTGAACTAAAGGCAGCTCTTTTGTTTACGGTCTTTTATTATTGGCTGAACTTATTAATCTGACCTCAGTTACAGTGTAACCAGAGCCCAATCCTAACTGGCTTTGGGTCAAACATCTCTACCTTAGTCTTGTCTGTCTAAATGGCTGTCTCATCGTTTTAAGGCCACACATCTCTACCTTGGCCTTGTCAGTCCAAGAGGCCTTCTTATTGGGTTAAGGCCAAAATCTCTATCTTTGTCCTGTCAGTCCAGATGGCCTCCTCACTGGTCTAACCCAAAACATCTCTACCTTGGTCTTGTCTGTCCAAATGGCCTTCCAATCGGCTTAAGACAAAATATCTCTACCTCGGTATATACAGTCCAAATGGCCTTCTCATTGGCTTAAGGCCAAATATCTCTACCATGGCCTTGTCAAGTCCAAGTGGCCTTCTTATCGGGTTAAGGAAAACCATCTCTATCTTGGTCTTGTCTTTTTAAATGGCCTTCTTATCGGGTCAAGGCCAAACATCTCTATCTTGGTCCTATCAGTCCAAATGGCCTTCTTATCAACTTAAGGCCAAACATCTCTGCCTTGGTCTTGTCTGTCCAACTGGCCTTCCAATCAGCTTAATGCCAAACATCTCTACCTGGGTATTCTCATTCCAAATGGCATTCTCATCGGGTTAATGCCAAACATCTCTATCTTAGTCCTGTCAGTCCAAATTACCTTCTTATCAGCTTAAGACCAAACATCTCTGCCTTGGTCTTGTCAGTCCAGATGGCCTTCCTATCGGCCTAACACCAAACATCACCACCTTGGTCTTGTCTGTCCAAATGGTCTTCCTATCGGCCTAACACCAAACATCACCACCTTGGTCTTGTCTGTCAAAATGGTCTTCCTATCGGCTTAAGGCCAAACATTCCTACCTTGGCCTTCTCTGTCTGATTAGCCTTACTGTCAGGTGAAGGCCCAAATTCTCTACCTTGGTCTTGTCTATCCACATGACTTTCTCATCAGGCTAAGGCCAAACATCTCTTCCTTGGTCTTGCATGTCTAAATGACCTTTTATTAGGTTAAGGTCAAACATCTCTATCTTGGTCTTGTCTGTCTAAATGATCTTCTCATTGGGTTATGGCCAAAGTTCTCTACCTTGGTCTTGTAAGTTTAAATGGCCTTCTAATCGGTTTCAGACCAAACATCTCTGCCTTGGTCTTGTCTGTCTAAATGGCATTCTCATCAGCTTAAGGCCAATCATCTCTACCTTGTTCTTGTCAGTCCAGATGACATTCTCATTAGCCTAACCACAATCATCTCTACCTTGGTCTTGTCAGTCCAGATGACATTCTCATTAGCCTAACCACAAACATCTCTACCTTGGTCTTGTCTGTCCAAATGGCCTTCCAATCGGCTTAAGGCCAAACATCTCTACCTTGTTCTTGTCAGCCCCATATGCCTTCTTATCAGGTTAAGGTCAAACATCTCTATCTAAGCTGAGAGATACATCTATTTAACACCTGGTTTGGATACTGGCTCTGATATTGCCTAGCTCACACATGCCCAAAGTGAGTCGTCGAGGGGCGGCTGCCCTTAAGGATTTAGAAGTTTACCTGCTTTAGCACAACTGATTCTGATGATTGCAGTTCAGCAAAAGCATTGTAATCAGGTATCAATGAAAATCAGGTGTGCTGGAGAAGGGAAACTTCTAAAACCTGCAGGAAAATGGCCCTTAAGGACTGACTTTGACATGCCTAAATTAGCTAGATCGGATATTGGTGATTTGATGTCGGATTTGAAGAATCCAGTGCACCTAACATTGCACTGTTATTTGTTCCTTTTTGCTGCTTATGTGTTAATTCATAATTTAAAGAATATTTATAGCTTTGTTTATCAGTTATCTTTTTTTAACAAAGTTTATGTCAAAGCTTAAGTCTTGACTTACATGCTATGATATATGAAATATATTCATTCAGCAATAAAACAGGATGGGTATTGGATATCGGCCAATATGCTCAGCCCAGGTATCTGTATCGGTAAAAAAAATGGATCTGTGCATTTCTAGGTAAGGCCTAGCTTGTCAATCCAAATGACCTTGTGCCAAAAGACTTGCAGTTCATTTAGATGCTACTTTTCACCTAACAGGGGAGGAGTACTTATGCTGAACATAACAGACCTGTAGTTACAGTAAATTCCACAACTGTTGGTAACAGTTATAAAAACCTTCATATGAAAAATGAAAGCCACTATGTCTTATTCCAGTTGTGGAAACTAAAGTCTGTAGAGTCTGAGACAGATTTTTATGTTTTATATGAAGGCTTTTCAACTCTTGCGCCAATCAGTAGTTCAATAAAACGTCCACTTTGTTATAATCTTCCTAAATGTCGAATAATTGCGTCAACACAAGCGTCCCTGCTTTTAAAGAGATGTTTAGGGTGAAAAGATATAAGTTATGCTTTAAGTTATAAGTCGTACTTTGCAATTTTAACCTCTGCTAATCATTAACCAGATGTGGTCTCAATTCAAAGAAAGTTATCAAGAAGAAAAAAAAAACAAAGACAAAGAATTTCCTTTTAATTAGGAACTGAAGAAAGAAAAAAAAATTAATTTTGTTGCTCACCCTTTAATGCCGGTGATGAGAAAGATAAGGTTGCCGTTGATTTTGGTGCAATTGACAAACTTATCTATGTTGCTAGCGTCCACAGTTTGAGCCGTCTGCAGGCTGCCTGTTCCTATGCCGTCGCAAACTGGCAAAGAAAACACATAGGTCACGCATCAAAACCAGATAATGTCAACGTTGATATGAAGTACACAGCACATCCAAGATGTCCTTGTATAGCGTCAAAGAAATGATTAGACCCTCCCCTACCACAATGATTTTTTCCCCCCATTCCCTTTCATCAAAATAAAGTCCTTTTGGTGCTCAGGCAAGGCTGTGGCCCTTTTCCATGCATTTGAATTCCCACGATGAAAGCATAGACCAATCTACATCCATTCCCTCTACATAATAAATTCATTACATCTGCATTAATTACGCTTGCAGTCCAGTGCGAGCCAAGTGTTTCAGACACAAGCGGAAAAAAAGAGGGAAGGATGATGAATAAGGCCGGCATTAAGCGGTGTAACCACTTTTTGATAGTGATTTATACCGGCCAATTCCATATCTGAAATGTTAATTTGTTATCATTTCCCACAGTTCCTTGGGCTATCCCTCATTAACCCCGTTCCCTGTGACGTGACAATATAATCAGGAGATTAGCCAATCGGCGGGTACCTGAAGGAAAACATTATTACCTTCCTCTCTGAAAGAGAAAGGGCAGATCAGTTACCTTTGTGAGAACAATATGATGAAGAGGATAATCTTCTGAGTTGAGCTAATGCCGTTTAATTCCACATCAGGCATTTTTTGCTTTTAGCTTGTGCTTCTCTGGCATAACAACTTGTAATCACTGAGCAGGTACCTATTTCTAATTAGGAGACTATTTTCTGTTAATTAACACATTGACTGATGTTTGGGATCAAATATGTGACCTTCATTTATGGTGTTTTTACCTTCCAGAAAGCAATATTCTCTGTTCTGAACAGCTCTGCTGTGTAATCATGGTGACGTTAATATTTTGGGATCATTTAAGAAATGAACAAAACAATAAATAAATAACACTGAGCTTGGATCACATGACTCACCTTTTGGGCAGATGTCAGTGCAAGGAATGCACATTTTGATCCGATTCTCCTCCACCTCCATCTTGTTGCTGGGACACGCTCTGACGCAAGAGCTGTGGTCCACCACAAAGTTATCTGCCAGAAGCAAATGGAAATAAGATCATACTGGCCTCACCAGCCTCAGCGCCAAAACAGTCACAAGGTAAACAATTCCTGGAAATTACTCTGATGATCCTAAGAAATGGATGATAATTAGAAGGAAACATCAATGTCTCGTGCATTCTAATTCAATGATCAGTGGATTTTGAATATGCAATCTGTTGATTTTAATTCAGTCTCGGCTAATTGCCTCTGCACTCCAGACCCTCAGTAACGGTGAATGAAAGAACTAAGATTTGCTTTTTCCAGTGACATAAGTTGAAGCAGATGGTGTAGTGACTTAGCTAATTGAGATGCAGCATTTGTTTAGGCTAGAGCCACTCATCTTGCTTCTAAATAACTCTCTGGAGTCTAATTTCAGCCTAGATTGGTAAATATGTGCTTCTTCAATAAGACTTAATTAACACCTTTATGAACCCAGAGCAAACGGTTAGTCTTCCTTTGACTTACGGGGGCATTTCTTGACGCAAAAAGCTCCATAGGTGTACTTGGCTCTGGGATTGGGCTCCAGCTGGAAGGAGGTGGGGTTGTACACAAACGGCTGGGGGCACTGGGTGACGCATGCGCCGCTGTTGTTGAAATTAGTGCAAGCCTGCAAAAAGAAGACAAGTAAAGTCACAATAAATGGCTTTCAGGGATTTGTGTGTATTCAGGAAGAAGGCTTTTACTTTAGTATGGAAGCGTTTTGTAATCACAGAGAAATAAAAGAAATCGCTCTGTTTTTCTGAATTAAAGATACAGTGCTGCTTTGATTCCATAGAGGATGTATGTTATTCTTGTCATTGCTGTGATTTGTTGAGACTTTTTACTTTCTTGGGGACTGAGACGCTGGGAAATTCTCGTCTCTTAGTTAGGTAGATGTGATCACTATTAGTTTGTCAACTTTGCAAAGACACCTGCTAGTTGGGTGCTACTTCTTTCCCACCTTCCTCTTTTCTTCACCGTTTATCGCGTTAGTTCAGAAAAAACAACCATGAACAAAGAATGATGTTGTTATTTCAGAACAACAGACCAATTTTCTTTTTTAGGTACATCCACACTTTTCATCCCAATTAATAAAAACATTTTAAATTGGTAACAAACGGTTTCCCATTTTTGAGACTTTGACATTGAGAAGACCTTTGACAACACACACATGTATATATATATTAGGGCTGGGACGATTTATGAAAACCGTCCGAACCGTTCGGTTCGACTGTCTCGGTTCGATTCGCCTGTGTTTCGTTCGGTTCATGCGCTGCTCCTTTTTCTAATAGGCGAAGCGTGTACAGTCCAGAGCAGAAGGTGGCGGTACTGGGACCAAAGCCAACCACCAGTAGTAAACAAGAAGAAGAAGAAGCGAAGCAGCTTAGCCGGGTGTAGCAGGGAAAAAAATCAGTTGTTGGGGAGAATTGTGTGGGTATGGCGAGTGGGAAAGAACAGGAGTTGGAAGAAGCGCCAGCAGCACTTTATAGGTCTGCTGTATGGGACCACTTTGCATTTAGAGTGACCTACGATGACGGCGGAAAGAAAGATGTGGATAAAAGTGCTACAGTGTGCGAGCATTGTGCAACACGTTTTGTTTATGCTAACAGCAACATGACCAATATGTCATGCTAACCCCGAAATCCCACAAACTCCGTCAGCGCTCCACCCCGCGGCGCTCCAGACCGGGTGCTCAAAGCAAAGCCTACAGCCCCCACTGTGGCTCCTGTCCGCTCCCCTCTGAGTCCCTTGGAGATGGTAGAGGGCATGCGCGAGATGATTAAATTCAAAGCAGCAAAACATACGGAAATGATCCGGGGTTTCCGCGGATCATTTAAAATAATTACAATCCATTATTTTTTGGGGCATTTTTTCATTAATTTCATAAATTTTTATGGGATTTCGGTGTAACAATCAACATATACCGAATCGAACCGAACCGAAAACCATGACGACGAAACCGTGAATCGAACCGAACCTTGGATTTTGTGAACCGTTCCACCCCTAATGTATATATATAAAAAAAAACTGTTTTCTCACCCCTCGTGGGGTGGTATGTGTCATCCTCAAGCTCGGGTCCTCTACCAGAGGCCTGGGAGTTTGAGGGTTCTGCGCAGTATCTTAGCTGTTCCTAGGACTGCTCTCTTCTGGACAGAGACCTCTGATGTTTTACCTGGAATCTGCTGTAGCCACTCTCCCAGTTTGGGGGTCACAGCCCCCAGTGCTCCAATTACCACTGGCACCACTGCTGCTCTTACTTTCCACATCTTTTCTTGCTCCTCTTTCAGCCCTTGGTATTTCTCAAGCTTCTCGTGTTCTTTCTTCTTGATGTTGCTGTCGCTTGGGATTGCCACATCTATCACTACTGCCCTCTTCTGCTGTTTGTCGATCATATATGTATAAATATATGTTACAGCTACTTATTTTGTGGTACATTCACATTGATTTATTTCATAAATGTTGTGGCCCTCCATATAATTCAGGGATCACATCACAATGATTGTGAAAGCTGTCTAGCGACTATGGGTAAGACAGATGTAAATAAAAATATGTGAGGGTGTTTTAATGCAAGTCAGTAAACGTTCATTCATTTAAGATTGGTAAATTTGTCCTGTTCTCAACTTGTAGATACATGTGACATCATTTGTTTCAAGTGTTAGAATACAATGTTAGAAGTTATGAATATAAGTTACAACTTTGAAAAATCCAAGATGGATACAACCCGTGATGAAGCCATTGTCTTACTCAACAGTTGGTGCCACTAATGCACCTGAAGGTTGTTCACCAACCTTCTCTTTATGTAATGCTTGTGCACCCTCCTGTTTAATGCTTCCCTGGGCAAATGTCCATACACCTCACATCAAAGATTATGCAGTATATAACAGGTTCTTTTCCTATAGTGCCTTATGACATTAGTTGTGAATTGTTGCTGACTTGAATTTAAGCTGATCTATATTAGTATCTTTAAATATTTGAGCTTCCAAGTGTTAAAAATGTAAAACCACATTGAGACCTGTGCACTCAATCCCTCCATCTCCTTCTGGAAGGTGTGGAGGTAATGGAGAACGGAGAGATGAAATTTCATGGATAATTCGCTGCGAGTGAAGGAATATTACGACAGCAGATCATTTTTACGCCCGATTCCAACGTGCAAATCAGGCGGCCGCTCCTTGTCTCTCTGGATGCCAAATGGGAGACAAATGAAAGCCATTGATCCATGGCTGTGATGTAAACGGCGTAATGTTCTCCCTATAAAGCCCCCCTCTTCCTCCCTTTTTAAGCATCTTGACGTCCACGTCGCCGGTAATTGAATTTGAACGAGTCTTTAGGTGAATTACAACAGCAATATCATCTCTGTCGACGCGCGCGTTTGCAAAACAAGAAAAAAAGTTGGATTAATAAAAGGATCACAATTATAACTGGAAATCCCAAATTTGATCAAGGAAAACTTTTATTAGCTTGAAAAAGGTTCAACTGTTTGTCAGCAGGCACAGAGTTTGTAAATGTACATTTGTCCCTTTATTTTTTCCCCAATGTTTGTCACATTTGATGTATTTTTAATTGAATTCAAAGTGGTATTTGATACCATAGAGCTGAAAGAGCAGGGGTGTGACCGGTTTACACAACCTAGACTACGTCCAATGATGCTTCTTTAAACTTAGGGAATAATGATTTGTAATCATTTAATCCCAAATTAGTAAAAGAGCCTGCCCTTTAGATATAATCTATTATTTCTTTAAGCCTGTAGTGTTACTGCACCATTCAAACACATTCATTTACTTTTATCTAATCAAACTTGTCTTGCCAAGTTTCTGATTAGTTTAAATTAAAATCTTTTTAGCAGTAGAACAATGAAAAATTGTTTGCAGTACATTTAACAACCACCACCTTTGAAGTCTAATGAAATAAATTTTTCACCTTTTTTTTACAAAAAATATATATTAAAACTCGTTGATATTCCGGCAATTTATTTTGGGTGAGACAATGTCGCAACATTTGTCATAATGCTGGCTTTTCAACTTTAGAGATGAAGCAAACTACCGACTGTAATGCGCGTAATTTTGCACTGACCTTTTTTGCAGATTAATGTCTAGTTTTTTTCAAAAAGGGAAACTGCCTGATGCTTTTTTTTGCAGCTGCAAGTTTGTTTTATCACTGCTTTTAATTATTATTGCTTTACAAATATGCTGTATATACCTGCTGGTCCAGGTTAAAGGAGCTTAGTCATGTCATTGGCCTACACAGTTAAGATTAACCAACATTTGATACTGCTAAAATAAGGTTAGAAACAATAAGAGTCCATCCTAATAACACTTAGATTGTCCTTTCTTAAGCCTAAATGGAATTTCAGCACTGGGTGCAATTATATATATATATATAAAAAAAAAAAAAAAAAAAAAACGTGGAGCAATCTATATGCATTACTGCAGAATTCCTCTGTTTATCTACAGTATACAGTGATTTATATTTAGACTGTATAAACTACAAATAGCATTTCTATCAGGAGTGTCAGTATTAATAGGCTAATCTGAATGACTCAGCAGCTTTAGCTGCCGCCTCAGTAAACACCAAAATTCATACTGTATTCCTAATGCAGTTCCAGTCTTATAACTCAAAGACTTAAATATTATTTGCATTTTTCACACTCGATCTTGGAATTTTCTTCATTATTTCCACATTTCACTGGGAGATGCTAACTTGGTAAGCTGCGGTAAACTATCTCCTTTGTTTACTGTTTGTTTAGCTGTTCTGTTAGGCATCCAAAACCATTTCTTTTTTAAATTCTCCTCATGAGGGCTTTCATGTCATGTACTGTAACAGTAGGAAAACTATGTATTTGGCAAGTAACTTATGCATGAAATAACTCCTCCCCATACTAAAAAAGGGTTGAGTGGAGACTTACTCATCAGAGGTGCGCTTGTTCTATTAAAACCCAAACTTCATTTGAATTAAGCTTTATATTATCATCTGAGACAGCGGCAATCCACTACTAACCCAGTCTGCCATTTTCTTGTATGTTTTTTTCCTCACCTCGAAGCGATGCTACTGAAAAACCAAAAGCTAACAATAAAGACCTTACACTACAAAAAATTAAACCAATTTTTCTAAAAATAAGTGTATTTTCCCATTGTTTTGAGCAGGCAAGACACAGTTTTCCAGTGACTAATATTTTGCAGAAATTTTTTGCCATAAAAATGTAGTTTATTTCAATTCTTGCGAGTCTTCTTTAACAAATGACTTTGGCTAATTGATGATGTCAAGTTTGATATAATGTCCACATTTAGAAAATAAATAATTCTAAAAGCCAGCATATGATTTATTGAAAAGTTTGGTCACTTTTTGGGCACACGCTGACAGCTATTATACTAGATTTCCTAATAATACCGAAAAAGAGACAAATTCTGTGAAATATGTTCAACGGAGGCCGAATTGGGTGGAAACCAGCCCAGTCTGGAAAAACTCATCTCAACAGCTCCTTTAGAGTTATAATATGCTTTTGGGCTACTTCCTTAAAATCCTTAGTCATAGTTGACACATCATATGCAAGTGGCTCATTCTGTTTGATGCAATATTTTTCTAAATCATTATCTTGTTCTGCTGGAGTATTATTTGTTATATTTTGTCATTTTATTTGTAATTTGTTCATTTCAGTCGCAATCTCACTTTCTGGTAGTTATGCGGAACTGCCAGCAGATGGCGCCACATCTACTCAATGCTGAAATTCTCTTAAGGCTCAAAAAGAATCTAAACACTATCAGGAAGTATTTATAAACTTGTTCTATCACGATGGCTTAACAGGATGTCTAAATGGCTTTTGTTTTTATACTTTTTGTACAGGCATAGAGGTGATAATGAATCTCTAGATGAAACTTCTTCTCTACCATATAAGCCAATTTAGGTGGATTTACATGTTATTACTCTCTCCATTTACAATCCTTTATGAAATATTCCAGCTTTGACGTACTGCTTTAAACTTCTTAACACCTTTTTGTGATCTGGCTTGGATTTTACAACACTCTCCTAATAAATTTGCTACCTTTTGAAGGAAATAAGTAGCACAAGACTTCATTTAGGTTAACCAATTTAAAAACAAAACCAAGAAAAATAAAAACTGAAGTTAGAGGTTTTTACCGAACATGGTGAAAAATGCAAAGCACCACAGGTAATGTGAATCATAAGATATAATGTTGAAAAGTAAAAGACAACAAAGTTCAGACTCACAAAGCAGTCGGTGTCCTTGGGGCCAGAGCAGCCGCCGGCGCACTCTCGATGGCAGCAGTCGCTGACGTAAGGCCCGAAGCATCGACCGTCACACTGCTCTGCACACACCGTTTTTGTCACTGCCCAAGAAATAAAAAGACAGAATTTTAAAAGGTCTGACACACAAAAACACACAGACATACACACCCTTAAAAGAGACAATACCACCACCCTCAACCTTCATCTCAAGTCATAGCTGCTCCCGACTGTTATGTGACAAATGAAATTAAAGGCTTCTGCTTCTTAAAGGTCAAGACAAGTGGATTTGTGAGGATTTACTTACAGACTCTCTGACGTAAAAAAAAATATACAAAAAACAAACATGAAGCACCCTGTGTTTCGCTTAACACCTGCCTTACCTGCCATAGAGGTGTCCTTGAGCAAGACAATCCTCCAGCTCTAGTTTAGTGGCAGGCAGCTGAAAATTGTGTTTGGCAGGTATAAATTAGAGGTGGCATGTTGGTGCTCAAGGAAAAGGGGCAGTTTTTTTTGCAATAAAGATAAAAATACCAGGAAATACTTTATCTTGTGCCATCACAGTTCTAAGGATTCTGCTTTCTGTTAAACAGGTGATTTCACCAAACCTTGTATTTCAAAATTAACCATTTGTGTGAACAAAATAAGAAAAGAAAACAATCCAAAACTGCTGAAAAATTTTTTTTTTTTCTTTTTAAGAAGAAAATAGCTAGCACATCTTATCCAATACTTAACAGCTAATATAACCCTTCAAACTGGCTTCAAGCTAAGAGATGTTTGGAGTTTCCTTTACATTCACCCTGTTAAAAGTCAGCTTACTAAAGATTTACGCTTAATACGTCAAATTACTTCATTTTAACTTGTGCGCACACGGGCAGAATTTTTGTAACTACAAGGACAGCTCCAAGTAGTGGACAAGTGACAGTTTCTACTGGCAAGGGTTTGCTAATATAGATAAATATCACCACTAGGTTGTGTAAAAGCTAGAGACATGTGTGTCTGTACTTTTAATTTTCTGCACGGAACATGTGCAGCTCCACACTGACAAACAAGGCAGTCAAGCAACGGCTCCTATATACAGTCACCAGCCACTTTATTAGGTACCCCATGCTAGTAACGGGTTGGACCCCCTTTTGCCTTCAGAACTGCCTCAATTCTTCGTGGCATAGATTCAACAAGGTGCTGGAAGCATTCCTCAGGGCGTTTGGTCCATATTGACATGATGCCATCACACAGTTGCCGCAGATTTGTCGGCTGCACATGCATGATGCGAATCTCCCGTTCCACCACATCCCAAAGATGCTCTATTGGATTGAGATCTGGTGACTGTGTAGGCCATTTGAGTATAGTGAACTCATTGTCATGTTCAAGAAACCAGTCTGAGATGATTCCAGCTTTATGACATGGCGCATTATCCTGCTGAAAGTAGCCATCAGAAGTTGGGTACATTGTGGTCATAAAGGGATGGACATGGTCAGCAACAATACTCAGGTAGGCTGTGGCGTTGCAACGATGCTCAATTGGTACCAAGGGGCCCAAAGAGTGCCAAGAAAATATTCCCCACACCATGACACCACCACCACCAGCCTGAACCTTTGATACAAGGCAGGATGGATCCATGCTTTCATGTTGTAGACGCCAAATTCTGACCCTACCATCCGAATGTCGCAGCAGAAATCGAGACTCATCAGACCAGGCAACGTTTTTCCAATCTTCTATTGTCCAATTTCGATGAGCATGTGCAAATTGTAGCCTCAGTTTCCTGTTCTTAGCTGAAAGGAGTGGCACCCGGTGTGGTCTTCTGCTGCTGTAGCCCATCTGCCTCAAAGTTCGACGTACTGTGCGTTCAGAGATGCTCTTCTGCCCACCTTGGATGTAACGGGTGGTTATTTAAGTCACTGTTGCCCTTCTATCAGCTCGAACCAGTCTGGCCATTTCCGCCCACAGAACTGCCGCTCACTGGATGTTTTTTCTTTTTCGGACCATTCTCTGTAAACCCTAGAGATGGTTGTGCGTGAAAATCCCAGTAGATCAGTAGTTTCTGAAATACTCAGACCAGCCCTTCTGGCACCAACAATCATGCCACGTTCAAAGTCACTCAAATCACCTTTCTTCCCCATACTGATGCTCGGTTTGAACTGCAGGAGATTGTCTTGACCATGTCTACATGCCTAAATGCACTGAGTTGCCGCCATGTGATTGGCTGCTTAGAAATTAAGTGTTAACAAGCAGTTGGACAGGTGTACCTAATAAAGTGGCCGGTGAGTGTATATAAACTTCTAGAGATGTTATGATTTATTTCACAAAGATCACAACCTATATAGATTGTGAAAATTGTGAATTTTGCTCCGTTACTTTTGCAAACAAAGAACACTTTTTTTTGTCAAAAGAATCTGGGAAAAAAAGCAATTTAGAGAAGAAATTTGAAAACCACATGTTCTAAGGAAAGGTTTTGAAAGTGACTTTGCTGTATTCTAAAATCTTATTTTCAAATTTCAAGATTCTTTTTGAACTACCCGTTTATTAAAATTGTACCAACAATTGTTTTCTACATGTATACTACTAGATTATTTTTCCAGCCAATTGTCGTGTTTGTCTGCTGCTGTTTGTTAAAAAGACATTTGAGACAAAGTTTCATAATTACTGTATTAAAAAGAAAACACATATCTGTGTAATTTTTGGTCTATATTAGCCAGACCTATTGCCCGAATAGAATGACTCCACAAGTCTAGGTCTTTAAGCATGAAAAGTTTTAGTCTGACCTTCATGATGTTTTCCCTTAGAATGTTCTTGTTCTTCTCCAATGACAGTAAAACTAATTAGACCATCATACAAGCATTTTTATGTCTCACTAACCTGGGAAAGCCTGCAGTAGGTCCTTGGAGAACATTTTAGTGTTTTTGGAGACTTCTTTTAGCATTGTGTGGTCTGCATTCAGGATGTAACAGCATTGAACGTTGCTTTGACCATCTGTCACTTGTAGAATATATTTTATTCTTATTTAAATATCTTAGAAGGTGCAAACAAAATTTATCTTCCTGAAGGCATCAAACATTTCTTTGGATCCCATGAATTTCACCCAAAAGGTCAAACCCTGAAGTTTTAATAGTCAAACCTCCCTAGAAGGGTGCACTCCACAAGGGAATAAATCAATAGTTTATTCCTTCAAAGAAATTGGCTTATTAAATCTAGTTAAAAAGTATTTTTATATATTCTTTTTGTTTTGTATCTTTAGCATTACATTTCCTCGACAAGAGCTAAAGAAGCAGTTTTCTACCCATAAGAGAGAACATAACAGCCAACAATCAGCAGGGTCTGTGGGTTGGGCATTAAAAACTGCTGGGCTCCCTCCATGCTAAGCTGTGAACATAATGATGACGAAGTGAAACAACAACAAGCCTCTGTGGTTTAGTAGTCTGTGTAAAAACAGGAAAGGATCTGTCTAAAAAGCAGCATTACGTAACCGTAGAAACAGCTAACACTCGTCTAGTTTCTCTGATCTGCTTTCTAGAATATTCCGCCTGTTTATTGCTACAGAGACAGTTTATTAAATCATCAGCTTTTAATAATGTAGCAACGACAGCAACAAATGACTAAAATAGATCTTTCTTTTATTCTGAGTTAACTTTTGATAACAGATTTTGAAACCAGAGCCAGAGAGAATAATGTTGTATATTTTTCTTGTCTATATGAAGATAAAGCAGATTTAGAGCAAGTTATGCATTTGCCCAACTTTGAGGAACACAGCGTCCTTAGCATTACTATGCTGCTAAATATAAAATTTAACAATTATTTAGAAACTGTCATGACTGATGTGAATTTAATTTGAAAAATTAAATAAATAAAAGTAAAGTCAAATAGTTATATCTATAATTTATTTATTGAAGCATCATTACACTCAACTCAACTTTATTTATAAAGCCTTTTAAAACAACCACAGCTGCCACAACGTAGTTTACATCCAAGTAGAATTAAAATAGTAAAAAAAAAACACAATTATGTACCTTCTATACCTTTTAAAACTATGACTCTAAACAAGTCTTAAAATAGTACTTCTGCTGGTAAAGTTTAGAATGAGTTAAAAAACCGATGCAATGTATTTACCACACAAAACTGAACTAATAAAATGCATATGTCAATGAATTTATGTATTGTATGACTTATTTTCAAAGGTTGTGTCTTATGGTCCATTCACACTGAATGCAGTGTCTGTGGTGAAATGTAAAGTTCGTGGTGAACTTTAAAGTGCCTTGAGATGCAATGTGTTATTAATTGGCGCTATATAAATAACCTGAATTGAAATTGAATTGAAATGTGAAATGGGCAGTGGATTTACAGAGTTTCGCTATCCAAACCGCCCAGGCAGCAGTAAATTCCATTGCTTCCCTCTCACTGTGCGGCACCATACAGTGAGAGTGAATTGGTGACCACGGAAGTTGAAAAATCTGAAATTTTCTGTAACATTGCATTGCAGTAACCAATCGTGGACGGGTTGTGATTGTGAGCTAGGTAGAAAGGTGGCAGCTGAGACAAATGTTTTTTTCAATCAAAATAGAATATAGAGAACATTTTTTACAAACGCTCTCAAGATGTTTTTAGGTGGCTTTTAAAAAAGTAGTTTTAATTGATCCGTCAAAATGCTTTTCATCGTCCGCCCTTATATCCATTATAGACACCAGCCAATTCTTGTTGCCTCTGGCCAATTTTTGCACTCTGCCCCGCTGGTGTCTCTGATCTACCGCTGTCCTCCTTCAAACCTCCGCAAGAGGAATGTTGAAAGAAAAAGAAAAACACTGTGTCCAACACCACAAAAATGCCTCTGTACACTAAGACCTCCAAAACTTTGGTGTCACACTTAAACTAAAGCGTCTGCATAGTTCTTTAGGTTATTGACGCACACACACCCATAACCACAAGAAGTTGGCAATCCTTTAAGGTGGGAAACTGAAAATGATAATAAATAATAAGATTGAAGAACCAACTTAACATTTATCTTAGTGGATGGCCTATATTAATTTTAAAGGATCTTGAGCCTAGTCAAAATAACAACTGAAAAGTGAAATAAAATATAACAAAAACACACATTTTTCTGTTTTTCTTTGTTCGTTTGGGTGTTTTGTTTAAATTCCACAAATCAGTTACATAGTTGATGAAATTACTGGGGAGAAAATTAATGTAGAGACTTTAAGAACTACTAAATCCTGAGAGGGGGAAGCTTAGTAAAAGCTGCTGTAATGATTTTTCAAACAGCATAAAAACCAGAAAGAAACAACACATTATTGTTGCTTACAGCAGGCATACATTGTACACAGCTACAGCTCTAACTGTACAACGAACTGCAGGATTGAACAGTTCCCAGCTCATAGTGTATGTTTTTACACTCTACGACCCAATGCTCTGATGCGATCTAACTGCTCACACTGTACGTCCAAAAACCACATGTCGACTCAGCAACAAAAGATGGCACTGGTTGGACTCGTCAATATGGAAGAAGAAGAAGTAGTCTTCCCTTGTTTGCACATGCGCAGTGTGCAAGATTCTGGTAAATCAGCTCCTAAACGCTCGTAGCTCTGCTTCAATAGCAGCATTTGCTCATAAACACCTCATAAAGGCCTACCGAATTTCCAGCATGTTTGATTTTTTTCCCCAACCTTATAATTCCCGATTGGGAGGTGGTCCTGAGTGGTTAATCGCCTCTCTTTGGCCTCTATACTACACAATGAAGCTGAAACTCTGCCCAATCCAAAAAATTGAGCTGAAGAATCGGCTTGAAAAGACAAAAACTTGTACAGTGTATTACGACATTAGTCTGTTATCCACCGGTCACTCAGGTCTCTCTGTACTTATATGAGTGAGAAACTCTTCTAATAAAAGGGTCACATTGGGAGATGAACAGCAAAGCATTCTCAGATGCTATATTTTATGCTATATTTGCATCTCTTTTTATACTTCACTATTAATAAAATGTCCCACAACATATCACTATAATGACTTTCATGGAGCTTCTCTACTTCCTCAAAATTTACTGATTCTTCTTTTTCTGTCATTGAGAGAGAATGTGACAGTAGTTGCTAGTCAAGCTACTCACACACCGACTGGTTGTTACTCGAAAGAGTGGGGTAGGGTAGGGGTTTGGGCTGCAGACAGACAGGAAAAGATCAGAGCCCATGTAGCGCAATGTGCAGCAAAACCTGAGTGATATTCAGTTACTTTGGCAGGTTTGATATGAGGGGGCAAGGCATTTATTTGAAGGGGTACCACCCCCTCTTGGTCCAGCATATAGCCAGCCTGGAAAGAAACTACTACTTAGATCCTGCAATGCCAGGCGTGTCGCCCTGTTTAAAGCATGTCCGGGCCAATCTGAAGACTGGTTTGTGTTAGGGGCATAATCAACAGGGCCATATATGTTGAGGTTTTAAGGCCATGGATTTTAATTGGTTTGTTTATTCACTGGTCCTTAAGTTTTGGAATAAGATAAAATGATATTTAAATACTTTAGATTTCTTCTCTAATGAGGGTAAGGTACAGTACATGCTGTCAAAGGCAAGTCATTGTAGACACGTTGTATTAACTCATATTTGGGAATAAACCACATTTCATCCTTTTTGCTTTGGTAATATATATGGGAAATACCAATGGTAACATCTGAAATATGTATTTTAGCACCAGCTGCCTGAAAAGACACATTTTTTCAACTGTAGACAATTTCAACTCAACCTTTCCTTTCATGTCCAACTTTTTTTTAACTACACAATGGAAATGTCATGATCCCAGACACCCACCCAGAAAGGCCTTTTGTTGGAGCCACTGCATAGTCTGGCACAAGGGCTGGACAGAGAATAATTGAAACGCAGATAAAGTCTAAATCAACACTTTTGAGAGACTTTAGAAAAGCCTGGAGAAGTCTTTGTATATTTCATCACTGTGCATCAAGTATTATCTGGTTGACTGAAACCTACCAAAGCTACTGGAAAGACAAAGCAGAACAAATTTGAGAGGTATCCAGGGTAGAGGGTGAAATAAACTTCATACTCACATGTTTGACATTGGCTTTCCTGGGGACCCCAGCAGCGTCCGTTACAGGAGCGATGGCATCGTCTGCCTGTAGAAAAAAAAAACAACCAAAAGAACTAATTGGAGCCGTGGATCAGACAGATTCCCTTTGAACAAAAAATTTAAGGCAAGTTATTCTTCAACACGGAGTGCTGAAACTTTCCAGTGACATATTTATCGAAACTCTTCAGCTTGATGAGACAATAGGCTGCTTTGGTCGGGGACAAACACATGCGTGAAAAACAGGCCCTCTACTCTTTTTCTGTCAGATGGAAAGTGGGATCTGACAGAGCGCTCACAGCCCTCATCTGCCTGTGGCCCATCATTGAGACTTAATTGACTATGGGTTAATTACAGAGTGAGTGGAACAACGCAGCCAATTGTCACCCAGCCCTTCAACCACTCCCACCATGGGGTCCTTAATGTTAAATACTGGCTACATCTTGGGAACAGGCTCCAATTTGGCAACCTTAACACCCACACACTCTCTTGTCATTTTTTTGTTGGCCCACCTCCTCAATGCTTTGGTTCTTTTATCACCATCCTTCCCATCAGCATTGTCTAATCAGCAACATAACAATGTTTCACACATTTCGGACATAAAGATCATTCCTAAAATGTTTTTCTATGTTTTTATGTGCTCTGCTTTTTCCAGAGGTCTTTTCACAAGCTATGTTTTTTTTATTTTTTTTTATTTTTTATAATTACTATGAAAGCATAATTAAGCTCATGGAATATATATAAGGATGTTGCAAGTGTATCTTTCTCGTAATTCTAATGTTAATGTAATATAAAGCAAAAGCTCAATTGTCAATGTTAAGTTGGGGATTTAATAAAGGATCCAGAATCTGACATTATTCATGATTCGGATGTTTGCTTTAAACCAACAAGTAATCTATTAATCCAGATTTCATGATCATTCAGTTTGAAAGCCCTTCCCTCCAAACAACAGATGTCATCTAGACTTTGATTTTTAGGCTAAATCTAGTCCAGAATTAGTTGTTGAAAATTGGGCTTTGTTAGGTGTGTCTGAATTTTGTCCCACTTTAGTCTACTAATAGACGTTGAAAACACAGTTTTTGACAATGTGAAAATTACAGCTTTTTACTTTTCAACCAAATGTAGATGTTGTTTGGATGTAAATCATGTTGTCTTTTCAATGTCTTTTCAACCTATTTTTCCTTGGTAGGTTGGCAATGACCTTTCAAAGACCTCTGATCTTTAAGCCTGTCGAGCAGTTCAGACTTATTTACCCTTTTTCCTAGTTATGAGCTGTAACAATTAGGGCTCTGAGTCATGGGGTGTCCCAAATTATCCCTGTAGTCCAATAAAATCACCTGAAGTCTGTCTCAATTCAAGCATCCTCACGAGCACCATTTCCGCAGTAATTTGCACAACCACCGCAGGGAGTTCATCGCTATGCACAGTGTTTCAGTGTTTACACTGTAGATTGTAAATAGGAGGATTTCAGATGCCTCCCAAGGCAGAAAAAAACCCTCAGCAAATAGAATGAGAAGCTAGTGCCTTGTTAGTCCAGGTTTGTGCAGTTAAAATGGTCATTTGTACAAAAAAAAAAAACATTTGCACCAAAGTTTTGGTGCAAATGTGTGAAGATAATGGTCATTGAGAACTAACTTGGCAGCCATCAGCCGATAGGGGCTTTTCTCTACCTTTCCTGGGGAAAGCACTTGGTTTAATATTAATCTACTAGATCATTAAACTGCTAGGTGGAAGTCACAGGTCTCAAGTAACAAAGTACATATAACTGATTACATTCTATATTTTCTCGAAATTTTGGCTTTACTCGAGTACGTTTTTTTTTTTAATTTTGAAAAAAAACTGTGTTTTTCTTTATACTACTACTCCTTACATATTTTTGCAATAATCTCTACTTTCTACTCCTAACATTTTAATAATATAACTCCTTAGTTTGGTTTCATTTAAGCTCATTTTGTTCAGCCCTTTTGTATTAAAAAAAACATTAAAATGATTTGTTTTATCCAGACAATTGAATTCTTATAGGTTGGACTTGGTACTGCACCAACGTCTTGTTTGCCACATACCAAAATAAATAAATAAATAAATAATTAATTTTTTTTAAGATTATGCAAAGTTAAATTTGACCTTGTTACCATTAGTTATTGAATAAATGCAATTAAGTATGAAAAAGTTATCATCCAGAATTGTAGATTCCTTTAATGTTCCTTTAATAAGGTAGTGCAGTAACAAGTATAAGGTTTAAATCATCTGACTTAACATTACTTTTACTTTTATACTTAAAGTACTTTTAAATAAAGATACTTTTACTTAGTAAAAAGTTGAAGTTGATATTCTAACTTGTACAAAGGTGTTTTTAAACAGTAGGATCTATACTTCTGCTTGAGTTATAAACCAAAATACTTTAAACATCTCTGCTGTTAAACAGATATATAACATTAGCTTTTGTCATTGATGAGTTATGCTGAGATGAGGGCAAGAGCGGCTGCTGAAGGCAAGACCATCCCAATTCACAGCTGGTCACTTTCAGCCTTTGTTGGTTTGAGGTGCTTGAAGGATCTGTGTGGGTTGGATAAACCTCTGAATTGGGATACATGCCTAGAGGATATGAGTTTCTCTGCATCTTTAAGCATGTTCCACTCTCTGCAGCTGACAGAAAGTTGCTGAATAAGCTGATCAGGAAGACCAGCTCTATGATTGGATGTCCTCTGAAAGGATATCTGTTGGATAATGTTTCCCACATCCTGAATGAAGCTGTTGCAGAACTTGAGAGCTCCTTCAATGACAAACTGCTGCTCCCTAAATGCACCAGGGAGCGTTATCACAGATCCTTCCTCCCAGCAGCTGTAAGACTTTATAACCACCACTGTTCCCAACAACCTTAATAAGTTGTTACATTCATGCAGATTTTACACAGTTTCTCCCTTAGTCAGTTACATAACATCTCTGATGTTGCTGCTATTTTTAAAATATCTATTACTGTTAAAATGTACATAGCTGTATATTGGTTATTCATTCTCCAGGTGCACAGTTTTATATTGTTAAAACACTTTCCAGTACAGTATTTTATTATTTATTATTATTACTCTTCACTTGTACGTTATTCCTATACATTTTTCTAAGGTCCACATTTGCTTGACCATTTTTTTAATAATCTTGGTGCTGATGTAAACACCAGAAATTCCCCTTTTCATATTTTATTTTCTATTCTATTCTATTCTATTCTATTCTATTCTATTCTATTCTATTCTATTCTATATTTTGGCCTCATCTTTGGGTAAACTAGCTGGGACATCCAATCCTTAAAATACTGGTAGTTTTCCTCAATGTTTCCCACTCATGAATATTCTCTGTGGAGTGAAATAATAGAACACTAATGATTATGAAAAGGCCCTTACAGGTCGATGGAGAACAGCATTTGTTTAAATTGTATTAACACCAGTTTTCTACACGTTACCAAACTGACAGAACTCCAGCTTCAACAGAAGTCCCAATGCTTGAATAGCACTACCCAGCTGCCAATTTGACTTCTAATTCCAGGGCCGTATGCATTTCTTTCAGTCTCCACCAATTCATGCCAAAGCTTTCCAAGCTAACCTGTTTGCTTGTATTAAAGCCTTCAGATAATTCCATTAGGTATGTTGTTAATTTACCCAAAAATGTATCTTTAGACAGGAAAAAAAAGGTTTGCAAGAGTTGGTCTTTACCCACCAGCTCATCTGACCTAAAATGACCACTGAAAAGAGGGAAGTGGGCCCTTCAAGCCAGCTGTTAGCTTTATTGTGATGTATAAAGAGCAAATGGGCCTTGCTGCAAAGCTGAAACTCTGGTATAACTACAATAAAAAGTTCAAATGTTGATCTAACACTAAGTGATGATGTCGCTCCCAATCCCCACCAGGAATACAGAATGAAATAAAGGGAATAGGCTATGAATGTCTGTGCTCATGTCTCTGTGAATACTAGGGGGGATATTCTGGATAAATAATAATTTTACTTAAAAGCTTTTGGACTTTACTCACATCCATTGTTGCTGTTGTTGGACGGAACCACGAGCAGCTCTGCCTGGGGGTTCTTGATAATGTCGCGCCAGTGAATGGTGTCGGCGTGGCACAGGAACTTGTTCTGGTCAACGTAGACGCCCCCGTTCAGTATCTCTGCACCAAGAAAGGAAAGATACAAAAAAGACAGAGGGGAAAAAATTAAAAATCAGCAGAGTTTGATGGATTTATGGTGGATTCATTGTACATGTATGCTGTGGCAGGAAATCAATACTTCAAGGTTAAATCTTATGGTTCTTTTGTCTCGAAGTACGGCATTCCCTTAATGCGTGTCTGAGCATGAAGGTAAATGCTATTGACAAATGTTCACAGTAACTCAATGCCACGTCCACAGGCAGGGGTTGTTCAAATAAAAAGGCTAATAAATATGCAAACTTGACAACAAAGCTTTTAGGAGGATTTCATTCAGTAATTTATAAATTATACCGTAGATTTTCAGTAATCTCAGTTAGTTGCTGATTTCCTATCTTCTGTAGCTCTCTCCCAAGTATATAATGAACTTGAATTAACAAACGTATGTAATTCTTGTTCCTTCAAACAGGGACCAGTCCTTCATACAGGTTGAACCTCTCTCAGATTTTCTTTTTGTTTTTTTTTTTATTGGTAGAACCAAGCATTACAATTATTGGACTGGTGTGCATTTGGCCAACTCTTGGTGGCTTGTGAGCATTTGTGCAAGGTTGTGAAAGGTATATCTCACTACTCTCTTTAAACCTTCAGACCAGGGATCTTGAGACTCTTGAAAACACTTTCCAAGGTACTGTCATACCTTGGATAGTGTTCTAACCATGGACTCCACAAAAGGTGAGGGTATAGGAGCTAGAACAGGAGGTAGGAGCTAAAATTTGAGGCATTTGGTTCAAGACCTTGACGTCAAATCAGGAGTAATCAAGCCAGATTCAGTTTTGTTGAACCAGAGAGATATCTGATCTTTGCAGGCCCTTAGGGACTTGAGATTAACATCCCTGGTCCAGGTAGTGAGCATCAACCTCTTGAGAAATCTTGACCATGTCATTGTCAAAGGTAAGCAAAGACACAACTCATATAGAGTAGGCTTAAAAAGTGGAAATATGTTTTTCTCAAGGACCAGTGGCCTTAACAGATGCCAGAGTAGGATAATAAAACCTAATCCCTTTCTGTGTTACTAATCCAGGCTTTGGACACAGACAGTGAGTTTAATGATGCTGCTGTAATCCACCTCCCTCCCGAGCCGTGACCTAAGGCAGCGGAGACACTGTCGGAGCCTCTCTTTCTTTTTTTCTCTGCGACTGCAGCTGAATGCATTGTTAAACCTCGTGAGGGGGTGGGTGGGGGGATTTAGATGCAATCACCTTGCATCCCTGTAACCTCGAATATGAGTCACGGCCTTATTCCAGGAAAGCACTTTTCATAATAAATGAAATTTAATTTCAAATAACTTGGAATGTGGCTCAGATTAAGGATGGATAAGCTTGAAAATAAAAAGAAAGGGCATTGTCTCTCCAGGCAGATTATTAACAGCATATGAATTATGCGGATGCCTCTGCAGCTCTGGAAGCCCGCACGCAGGAAGCTAATCATTACCATCCGACACCCTGATTAAGGAAGTGGGCCTTGGTGGAGACAGGGACATTCATTCACAGCCCTCTTTAGAGGTGACATGGCGCTTCGTCTGCCTGCTGAATGGCCTACAGCCGAAGCTTCATGTAATCATGTTCCCGTCACAATGGACCATTTATCACAGGGGGGGTGTTTACACCCATAAAAGCTCTTGGTGATTCATAAGTTGTGTTTTGTTCAAATAATGCAAAGGATGTTCTTAGAAATAGTTCTAAAAGAACTAGATAAAGTTTGTGGAGATGCATCTAGAAGTTGTTTTGTTTTTCTTTTAATAGCACGGTTGCCCTGAAGTCACCTTCGTACTATAGCAGGGAAATCGCCAGCACTTCTCACAACTCACTGTTGTGCAAAGGTGCAGAGGTGCAGGCACATTAGTGAATGGTGGATGCGCGGTGATGGATATGGTGCTCCATGGTCATTCAGAAGGAAATAAACTCCAAACCACACGGTAACTGCTGCTCTTTATGTGGCAAAAAGCCCCATAAAGCCTTGAAGTTTGTGAATAATGTTTTAGTTTAGGTGGAAATACAGACTCAGCAAGATGCGCTCGGGGGCTTTTGTGGCGCAGAACGGGGATTTATGGTGGCTTGGGTTTCGGAGTGCAGGGAGTCAACGGAGGGTCCTGACACCTGCTTAATGTCCACCTTCTGTAAGAAAGCCGTTCACTGAGAAGTTTCACTTTACACATGAAAGATGAAGGTAGAAAAGCGATGAATAAGGTATTATTATTTACTTGACCTTTATTTCTCACTGGATCAATCATTAAATACACTATTTTCCAGTAGATACCTCTTCATGCATGTTTAGATGGATAGTTCACATTTCTAAATACAAATTGCCTTTTTAATTTAGTAAACATAAGGATCCAGTAACTTCACTCTACTTTTCCACCTAGGTTTAGGAATTGGTTATCACTTGTCAGAAGAATTAGCACAGTTTGTAAATAATATATCCTCCCAGATTTGAATATGTTGAGCTTAAAAAGGGTGCCGTTTTAGTGGATGTGTAAGAACCTGCTCTGTTACAGGTCCAAAAAGGACGGCTGTGGTTATTGGGACATTATTGACTTAACAAAAGTGGTAAAGGGGCTTTAAGTTCCCCAGACAATGAAAAAGCTAAATAGCAGAAAAAGTCAAAAATGACAAACTAGAACTACCTTTTACACCTGGGACTTTTGGGTAATGGCAGATATAATCGATTTTGATATTTTATGTAGAGCTGTCCCTCTGTTAGCCGCCCAGCACTGCCCCCTGAATGTTCTTTTAAGTGCCAGCGGCTCCACTCCAGCTGACAAATTACCAACTATAGTGTCCATCCCAGCAGGGGCACTAACTCTTCCAGCATGGTGGCTGACAGGCCTCGACCAGGTGGCCATTCATTACCAGGCCGTGGCTGCCTGCTCCACTCGAGTACACCCATCCCCCCCAAATCCATAACTCTATGTTTCGATCAGGGAAGCTACTGATGACTGTCCCCCTTGCTGTACCCTTGAAACCACCCTCCTCCATCGAATCCTCCTCCCTTTCACTTCCCTTTTGATTCACAAGTCATCAAGGAAACTATTTTCTGAATCGTAGTTGCAGGTTATGGGCTTGGAGAGGCTTTGTTCCTCAGCGCAAATATCGAAATTTCTCTTCAATTTCAATTTGATATACCTCAAAATTATTAATATATAGAGAAGGCCTGACTTTGAATGAAAAACAAAACAATTCTATGAAAGAAAATAATAAAATCAGTCAAATTGTACAAAAAAACCTCCAAAAACTTTATGTGATTCAGGAGGCATTATTGTTGCAAACAAATTAAACTTTTTTTTAAAAGGAAAAAAAAAATGAAATCCTGAAATGAAAGTTAAAATAAAAAAGCTTGTTTCTCCAAATTTTGTTTCCAAATTATAATTTTTTTGTCTATTTTTTTTTAACAGATGCAACTTTTATATTTCTACAAATCATGTTCTTTCCTCTGGAGATATGCGCAAAGGTGATATCAATTCCTTATACAGCATAAATGCTCGCTCTTGAACGAGAAAAATCTTGTTGCTAGCATCCACGAAGACCAATACAATTTAGTTTTTGCTAAAAACAATGAAAATAGGTGGAAATGATACACAAAAGTAAATCAAAGACTAAAAGGATCCCAATTCATGACAGTGTGGCCTTTTTCTGCTAACATTATTAAGCAACTTCCCATTTATTTATCCTAATTGTTTGCAAATTCTTGCAATAATTAAAAATAAGGCTATATGTGTTATAGACCTTAATGAAATAAAAAAAAAAATCAGGAATTATACATTATTTTGATTGAAAGACTACAATTAAATCAATTCAAAAAGAAGCTGGTGTTACCGTTCTCACAAATCTCCATGCTCTGTGTCACCAGGCGCTCTGCTGCCTGTGATGGTGTTTCATGTGCGTACAAGGCCTCGGAGGGCTCTGCCACCATATGGTCAGGTCATGTTTGCTTCTGGTTGTAGCATTTTACTACAGCTCTTTTGGCATGGGAAGAAACTCTCTCAGCCTAATGGAGGAATCATATTCTTGGCGAGCTGAGGTTAAGGTTTTAGGTCGAATCAGAGATATGATTCATAGCATGCAGTGAAACACGATGCAGACTATCATTGTGTCAGTACTTGAAACTATTAAAAGCAAAAGATGTTCAGATGTTCAGAAAATCCAGAATTTTTTTTTATCTACTTGCATTAAATGAAGCTCTTTGCTGCTTGCTAGGAGATTAAGAATCACTATATTATCTGCAAAATATAACCGACTGTTGCAATAACTTAAAACTCTGTGATTGAAACTATTGAAACTATATCGCAAATAATTGAAACTATTTTCTTTGAACTTGCTTTACAATGGTTTTCATTAATAGTTTCTCAGAACTATTTCAATGTTTTCGTAGGTCTTATCTGCTTTCCAATAAATTTTTCTTGCAGTACCTGGATTTTTGAGGAAAACTTCAATATTATTTCTGACTTACAGTCTGTCCACTAAGATTTTCTATCTTTAATAAACTCATTGAAAAAAAAACCCCCAAAAAACAAAAAACTGTTCTTTAGAAAGAGAACAGTCATTTCATTAAGCTAACAGCCAGTTAACTAATAGCAGACACTTTATTTTTACTTTTATATATCCTTCTTTATAAGTTTGCTTTTTTCTTGGTAGTTAGGGGTTATTGATGAACTTTAAAACATATGGCCAATTTATTGGAATTGTTAAATCGATTCATTTGCAGAGAGTTTTTATACAACATTTTCATTGAGTTTGGGGTCTGACAAGAGATGAGGGTGGGATTGTGTGAATGGGTGCATGTGAATGTGTTTTTGTCTTCTTGTCGGGTTGAGTGCTTGGTTTCCCCTCGCTACTGGACCATCCAAGGCTCCATACATTAGTGAGGCCTCTTCCCTCCTCTCCTTATGCTCCCAGCAGGTGACCAGTACCTCTTCTGTCTGGTGTGGTCGTGGTTCTCTCTCTGTGGGGCTCAGTGCTTTTTTGCGT